GAATGACGTGGCGGGGGGGGGGGGGGGGGGGGAGTGGACGGAGGATGGAAAGGTACGGAGGGTAAATGGGTATGGAGGAGTGGAGGGACAGAGGGAGAGGGAGACTGGCACCCGCGTGGGGGACGAGGTGGGGACGAGCGTCATGCACGAGGACGAAGGAATCGATGGCGATTCGAGATCCGTGTTGTACGTAGTTGGTCGGGGGAGGGAACGCTCCGACTCTTTTGGCTAATTTCGGAAACGCGAAATTAATATCCGTAAAAACTTGAACTCAGTGGGAAAGAGAGGCAGGGCGTCGTGGATGCGGGGGACTTGACGGTGATAGTGTTATCTTATCTCGGAGGCGAAAAGGTTTAAAGGTTTGCGTTGCAGCGCTGTGATCGGTGCGGGCGCAGAGCGTGGATGGCTCGTATGTGGCTCGTCGACATCGTCATGCGTCTAACTCTTCCCTACGTTTTCGTTTTCCATTGTGAGTTCCCCTTTCTTTTTCTTTTCTCTGCTGCCGCGTTCGTCTGTGAAAAGGCGAGGAACACGAAATCAGTCTGGGCTGCAAGTTCTTGACGTCATTGTAAGAAGAGAATAAGCTGTCACTCCAAGAAATTTCACGTTTTTTTCCCCCGAGAAGGCTGGGGAAGGGGGCTTGCCAATTGGCTCTACTTGCTACATTTCTTCCTACCTCGAATTTTGCACAGATTTTTTGTCGACAAAGACGAATGCGGGTCGAGGATACCGAAATTTTCTCGGAAACAAACATATCAATAAGAGAAAGGTGAGCGTGGTCGGTCTGGCTGTGTGGGTGAAATGAGCATAGACTCGTGCCCTAACCTCCACTCCTCTCCACCTTTTCCACTCCGCTCCACCCCTTCCACTCCTCTCCATCCTATCCATTTCCCCAATCCATGTGGAAGCACGAGAGCAGCAACGACGTCGCTTTCATCGACCGTCTATTCTATGAGAAATTCTTTTTACTCGTTGACCAAAAGCAGGCCTGGGCGTTACATCGGCCTCCACGTACTTGCGGGAAAAAAAGAGAGAAGCCATCGATACACTCAAACTCTTTCTTCTGTTGCCTTTTCTTTCCATTTTATCGACTTAGTCGCTCTGAGGTCGAGAAATGCTTCCGAAGGAAAAGGCACGAATCTGCCTCTACTCTCATATTTCTCTCATTTTAGAAAATCCACGGGACTTGTATTATGAGAGTGACCACTCGGTAGTCCGGCTGTCTCGCTGCCCCCATTCTTCCACTGATTCCATCGATATGTGAAAAATCGGATTCAAAATTTCACAGCGCCACCTGCTCGCCTTTCCTTACAAATCGTGAAGAATCGCCTTCTCTCGGTGTTTGGACCGCCTCGCTCTCGACTCTCGCATTCCTCACCTGTTTTCCATCGCCCCCTTCTGCATTGTCTACGTATCTTCTCACCCTACCCGTGAACTCTGAGGAATGTGGAAGAGATGCAAAAGAGCTAGATTTTTATCTACACCGTGTGTGACATGCACCAGATCGGTTAAACATAAACCCTCTGATCTCATGAGAGTACCCTATCGCAATCGATTTGACGGAGATGATCTCATTCCCATAGACGCACATTGTGAATTCGGATGAGTTACAAGTTAAGTGGATCCGGTTTTCGTGTCATCCCGTGTTTCCGTTCCGAGACCACGCTCGCATCGGCCGTTCATCACTCGTTTCTCTTTTTAGATTTCGGAGCAGGAGTCAGAGCCGATATTCCGAGCCCCTGCATCCCCCGGAAGTACGTGGAAAACAGCTTCGTGTGCGTGTGCAATGCCACTGATTGTCCGGAGCCCGGCCGGTTGGCTCCCCTCGACATCCTCGACGATTTCCTGTTCGTCGTATCCTCCAGAGACAAATTCCGCTTCTTCCCGGGACAGGGACTCTTCAAGCCTTTCAGTAAGCACTCGCGCAGTCGCAAGGCGCATGACGTCACGAGTCGGTCGGTCCGCTGTCCGAAGGGGCGAATAGTCTCTCGTACTTCCCCGTGACTTTTCTCGATCTGCCGATTCGGTTTCGCCCACATTATTCGTCGCAGACTCACCCTAACTCCTTCCGTTTCATTAATTTGATTTTTATCCATCAAAAGGAAGGATATAAACCACCAATAAAACCACCCCAATGTCCATTGGGGTGGTTTATCCTTCTAAGGGAAGGACAAACCATCAGGATGGCCAACGGAATTAGCCGTGCGTCCCCTGCCCCAGGAGTCTAATCATTATAAATTATTAAATAGAAGCGGAAAAAAAAGAAAGAACCGTAGTTTCCTTTCTGACGCCAGGCGGGAGTGCAAGATAGAAAGCGTTGAGGCCGTGGTCGAAGGTTTTAGGACGGCACCGTTGAAGTTGAGGGAGACCACAACAGGAACTGCCGCTCGTTCGGAAGCTGGATCCCTGGCAGACGAAGGACGGAGTGCGGTACGATTTTATCGTCGAAATGAAGCTAGTGAGCAAGCTGTGCTCTACGATACGCGTTGATGCTGCAGGAAATTTGGTTGAAAGCTCCCAAAACAAATTCAAGTACTAGGAAAATTGCTTTGAGACAATGGCACACCACGCTTCTTGAGGCTTGGGGGGAGGGGGGGGGGGGGAAATAACGTTGGGTTTTCACCTCCCCCCCCCCACCCTTAGGGGGAAAAGTAAAGGGTTTTCATAAAAAGTATTCAAACCGAAAGATATTGACTTGTAGATCACAAAAAGTGCCCTTTTTGTTGTAAACGATGCATGAGTTCACTATTATTTAAATACATAAAAGTTAATTAGCTGTCGTTCGTTTAGGCTTAGAGTGCGGCTCCAGTCCCGTCCTCCAGTGTTGCCGGATATCATGCTCAAATTATGTCGGATTCATGACTGCTTCGACCTTCGTATCGGTGTCCGGATCGTCTGTTTTTAATGTCTGGGACATTTTTGGGCTGAGTTCATGAGTTGAGCTGAGGATGAAATGTTGGTTAGCAGTAGCCGATCGATGCTGTGGAATATGGAGATATCGTGCACGGACATCCCTGAATTAACAGGATGGCGTCCAAGATGCACTTTAATCCTGGAGGCATTCTCTCCGCAGACCTTGCCGAGATGGTTCGAGAAACTCCAGATAAGACTAGCGCTACATGTCCTCACCGAGGTGCCCCAAAGACGCTGGGATTTACTCATACTTCGCCTAACGTCAGTGAGTCCCGTATTGAGGGAGAGGATGGATTCAAGATATGAGAAAAGCCTCTGAAAATGGTTTCCACACAATTTCATAGATATTAAGCATGAGTCGGTAGGAAGGGCTCTCTCAAAGTTAAGGGGGAGCACTTGAACAACCTACAAGGATTCCTTCCATATCCTCGGTCCAACAGAAACTCTGGGATACTGTAATGCATTTCATGTGTGTTTTCATTCTTTTTTTTGACTATTTTTCTTGAAAAGTGAGGGCCCGTGCCGAGTAAGATATATCCCCCCCCAACGCTACGGCGCTGCCTTGGTAAATAAAAATTTCCTAATCATATTTTATATTCTATATATATATATATTGATCGAAAATATCATGGCAGGGGGGCAAACCCTCAAACATAGAGCCCCCAATTTATTTATGGCAGGGGTCTGGCATTTCATCGCACTGAGCCCCGCCATGCCTTTCGAGACCGACGCCCTTTTTTCGCCTAGGATAATCACTTTCGAAGATGAGGATATGACGGCTGCGAAGAAGGCATCATCCGGATATTCTCTCTAGGGGAAACAAGACCGATAAAAAAATATCCTTTGCCGTGGAAAGAGACCATTCCATTCATGCCATTCCGAGCTCTTCAAAACTGGAAGCCATGGGCCATATTTATGTTCGGAGAGGTCTCGACCCGAGAGAGAGCCTCCCGTGTGCCTCCTCGCATGGATCCCACTTAAAGACGCATCAATACGACTGGAAAATGTCATTTCACCTGGCCCATCGATCACTCCCTTCTGGTGTCCGTATGACCCGATCGACCGACCCAGTATCGATCTACTAACAGTCGATGATTAAAGTTCCTTGCCCTCCGCATCGCCGTTTCGTCGGTCGAAACTCTTTAAAGCACAATTCACCTATGACTTAAATCAACATGAGCTCGTTTAATTGTTATTCCGCCATGAACTCCGTCAAAGTAAGTCATAGATAAAACTATCATCACTCGAGGAAGCGAGGAATAAAGGTACGCGATAATAGGGATAGAGCCTGAAATCAGTTCGTTTGAGGTTCTAAATATTTTTTTTTCTGAAAACATGTCGAGTGAGATCATTTATTAATGTATGTAGTAATGTGAAAACCAATTTTCAATGGCTTTCCCTTTCTTCAACCCCCCCGGCCTCTCTACGGGACTCACTAACGTTAGACCTAGACCTAACCAACAGACTGCCTTCAGGTCACGCCAAGGCCTACCTTTTTCTTTTCAAAAGAAACTCAATTCTCCACTTACAGCGCCAATTAGGCCTATAAAAGTGAATCGTGGTCTTCGAGACATCTCGTTGAGGACGTTACGTTAGGCCAATCGCAGGCCTATTCATATTATCACGAACCATTTTTAGAGAGGACGTGTAACGTTAGACCGATTGGAGGCATGTTTCGCGTTTATTGAACCATTTCAGTGGGACGTGGAACGTTTGGCCTATCTGGAGTTTCTCGAACCATTTCGAATCGGTCTGAGGAGTGAATACCTTCAAGAAGCATGCAATCCATGGTGCGCGCCATCCCGTTAATTCAGGGATGTCCGGATAAGATATTTGCATATCCCACCGCATCGATCAATAACTGCTAACCACCGCTTCATTCTCAATTCAACTCATAAACTCAGCACAAAAACGTCTCATACTTTGAAAAACAGAAGATCCAGACGCAATGCGAAGGTTGAAACAGTCATCATCATCGAAGGTTGAAATCTGGCATCATTTCGACACGGTATCCGGCAACACTGGGGGACGGTACCGGAGCAAGCACTCTAAGCCCAATTGAAAGACAGTAATTTCATTTGTTATGGCGAGATAGTGCATTGCAAAGAACAAAAAGCCAATTTTCGTCATTTACGAGTCATTACCTTTCTTATGGTTAGTCTCTTTCCTCCGAAAACCCCAGGAGCTACCAAGAGTGACTACTCAGGGGGGGAGAAAAAAAAAGGAATGAAATTCACATCCTCCAAAAACGAGAGTCAGTGTTCTCCACACCAGGGAGATGGAGCTTCAAATTTGCTGGAGCGATTCTGTGGTGAGAGAGGAAGAAGTATGCCAAATTTCGTTCATGTTGCTCTCAGAGAGGAATACGAGGAGGTTGAATTNGTTCTCCACACCAGGGAGATGGAGCTTCAAATTTGCTGGAGCGATTCTGTGGTGAGAGAGGAAGAAGTATGCCAAATTTCGTTCATGTTGCTCTCAGAGAGGAATACGAGGAGGTTGAATTTTGTTGCGGGAAGGGGTTGAAGAAAGGTAATAGGTGCTATCAAAGCCTATTGATACATAATTTAATATCCCCCCTCCTTGTAGCTCGATGGCTTTAGAAAAACAAGGCTTTTGCCCTGCCTTGCGTGGTTAATTTGGTTTTGGAAGGGTTATCAATAGAACATCAAAGCACTGTTCTCATCTCGGCGGAGCTAGGGAAAAACCGAGAGAAGAAAAAAGGGACAAGAACAAATTGATTCCCATACATTCCAGAGCATCACTCAGATCCTACAATATTTATGAGGTGGGGAATGGAGACGTCCACGCTTTCACGCTTACGAAGGAGCGTATGAACATGATGGAGTCGATCCGTTTCTTTTTCCGTAGTTCTACTGTACATATTCTATATGTAGCAAAGATAGGGGAAGAAAGCGATTTGAGTTGGAAGGCCACAACGCCGAGTAACTAAAGCTCAACATCTGTTTATTTGGTGGTGGCACGAATGCAAAGAGCGAGAAGAACCCTTGGGGATCCCGGGCACATTCATCCTTCCCAGAGGGAGGGGATTCCCAAAAGGAGGGGATTCCCAGAAAGAGGAGAGAATTTCCATACGAAGGGGATTCCCTCATGGCCTGCTCATATGATAGATCAACCGAAGGCTTGCAAGGAAATACGAGGTGCCAATCGATTGTTAGAGGCAGACCGATGCATGCTATAATGTTTAAATATTAATAATATTCTTTAAGGTCTCCTTCCTTGCTCTTTTTCGTGCGATACCGTCCGATTGGTTGCTGCAATCAGGACGCATGAAAGACTGTTTGGATATCAACACTCTCACCGCATGATTATGTGTCATTTCATTCGCGAATGAGTCGGCGAGAAGAATCGCGGGTACCCAGCTGACTCCTGCGTCTTGGTAGCTCCAAGCAAAGATTGCTCTAACTTAAAGCTGTTCCAAAAGAAAAAAAAAACTATAAGCTTGATGAGACCAACGACAACAGTCCTTCTACCAGTCCTGAGGTTTGATAATTCCAATCTGAACCCTTCGACCGATCGCTACCTCGCTCAAACTCGTCCGACCGACCGCGGCCCATTCCTAACGGTGTGTAAAGGGACTCACAAACGATGAATTCCGTTGACTTCGACAGAAGACCCGGGGAATGCGACACTGATAGTGAACAAGACCGAATTGTATCAGGAGATTCTGGGATTCGGAGGAGCCATGACAGACGCCGCTGCACTCACCATCAAGACTCTTCCCGAAGCTGCACAGAAGCTCCTTATCAGGTGAGATGAAAAGGTTTTCGGAACGGGCCAAAAGTGAACATTCCTGAGTTCATCCCGGATAACACCTTTTTTCACTCTACCGGTCATTTTATCGGAAGAAAAGATATTTTGAGGGGTCGAGGCCGCCTCTTTTGAGGAATATGGGTATAAGAATTAGGTGAAAATTGATTCCAACCTTTTCTCTTGAACCTTTCTTGCTTTTTTTCTTCCAATTGCTCCCTGCGAGCATAATGTAACGACACGCGTAAAAATGTTCGTACACGGACGTTTTCCTCACTCGGGTAAATATCCTCTGATTTCAGGTCGTATTTCAGCGACGATGGGATCGGGTACAACATCGCCCGAGTGAACATGGGCGGCTGCGATTTCTCTGCCCGGGGATACACCCTCGATGACTATCCAGGAGACGTGAATCTCTCGCGGTTTGCCCTCGCCGACGAGGACCTCAACTACAAGGTCGGCGAGGATTCGCCTTCGTGCCGGTTTGCGAAGGATTTACATTTTTTTTAGTTTGTCTTCTGCGTGATCGATGCATCGAGTTTTTTTTGTACATGTAGATTCCGTTGCTGAGACAAGCGAAATCGTTGAGAAACGACTCGCTGTTTGTGTTTGCAAGTCCTTGGACGGCACCGGCTTGGATGAAGACGAACAATGACCTCATCGGGATGGGGTCGCTCAAAACGGAATACTATCAACTTTGGGCTGATTACTATCTCAGGTATTCATATGCCTAAGGTGTAAGATTAATTTACTGTGCATTTCGATGCTCATAGCGATCTAATAATCTTCACATTGGGATCTGTGCAGTGGGTGGGGGAGGGGGAATCGCTCCCCCCCCCCCCCCCCCCCCCCCCGGGGGGGGGAGTGCAGTGGGGGGGGGAGGGGGAATCGCTCCCCCCCCCCCCTCCCCCTAAGGCCAGATTCGAATTCAATTTTTTTACGCACATAAATTAATTTTCGTCGGGACTTGTGAAATTGATATCTTCATTTTACCGCAAATGAAAAAGAAAAAAGGCGATAGGACAGAGGCTGATGGTAGGTGGGGGAGGGGGGTTGGAAATAGGGAACCGCTCCCTTTTCCCTCCATTCACCACGAATAATTTCTGCATCCGCCACTGGATCCGTGGCTCTCTTTCACTTTCTTTTGCGAAAGGTGTCGCTCATTAGCGCGTCTCGTTTCCTTGAGAAAGAAATAAGGCTCCTTTTGCAATTGCCGGGATGGATGCGAGTGCGTGCTTACAAGATGGCCTTAAAAAAAAAAAAAAAAAAAGCCCCTACCTTCAGGTGTGACGTATAATTCCTCTTCATTTCATCAATGCGAATACTCGATACGTCCTCCTTTCAATTCAATTGTGTCTTGAAATTATGTGTACTACTAATTGCGCGTGTGGCTTGCCAACGATCGACTATTGGTCTCTTCGAATCTTCAATGCTACGGATTGTTCTGGTTCAACCCCTCTCCCGACACACCCTTATATGGTAAATAATAGGTCTGCATTCTTTTCGAGAATCTGTTTTCGCATCTTTTACCAGATATTTGCAAAATGTGAAACCCAAGCTTGTTTTCGAACAAGATGGTAGCAATACCTGGCAAATATTGACTTCCTGCAAAACGAAGCCCCAGATGTCATTAAGCTTCACACGTAGCAACACATTAGGCTCAATGCAGACCATTTTGATCATTTCGTATGGGGTATGATGCAAGAAAATTTCCACCAGGACGAAACCGGGGTGATCGAAGAATGAAAAAGGCAATTGTCGATTGTGGACAAGCCATGTCCTCGTATTGTTGCACTGTGCAATCGGACTGTGACGCGCTCAATTACAGGCCACCATCGACTAGAATAGAGGAAACATCGATTTTCTGCATTAAGGAATTGAAGAGAAATCATATTTCATTCAGATCACCGTTTTTGTGTCATAGTTGCCACTTCCATGCGTTACAATTGCATCTAGGGCCACGGTGTCCAATACGTTCGCCACTCGCCACATGTGGCGAATCGGCCACAGACATGTGGCGAATCGGCCACAGACATGTGGCGAATTGATGCTCTTCATCAGTTATATATTCTCTTCAGGCACATTCTTTTTTAATATTAATATTGCATATATTTTGTATCATGTGGCGAATATGGTGACTTGATCGCCACTAGTTTGGCGAGCATCGAAATCCTATTGGACACCGATGATGGGGGCTTCCTTTTTTGGCAACCCTGTCGAGTCAGATAAAAAGAATAATACTGCCTCGAACTTCACAAAGTTACCTTGATCCACAAACGAAGAATACTTGACTTGATTTGGGAAGTATTTCGTAAAAAAAAATTTATGTAAAAGAAGTGTTAAACTGATAGTTTGATAAACGAACATGACCGAACGAACGAACCGCCAGCTGTCTTCGCGCGAACCGCCTCCAGACATCCTCTTCTAACCGTCGCCTTCCCTTTTGTTCTCTGTCTCCTTCTGTTTCGCTAGCGCCAGTTATGATATAGCACCGAAAGGAGGCTCGCTGCTGGATTAGGTAGCGCTGAGATCACTGAGGTTCTTTGATAATGGGAAGCACTATGAGAAATTTCCATACTTATTAAAACTTGTCGGTGTCACATAGGGCGTACGTTAACATCATATATTATGAACACTGTTAAAACACTCGATATCATGGAAGTATGCTAAGAGACCGGAATTCACGATCTTTCCAGGTTCGCAGAGGCGTATAAGAAGGAAAACGTGAGCTTATGGGGAGTGACGACGCAGAACGAACCGGTCGACGGGAACATCCCCGGTTTCACGTTCAACTGCATGGGCTGGACGGGAGAGACGCAACGAGAGTGGGTCAAGAACAATCTGGGGCCGACTCTTCGCAAGGCCGGTTACGGGGACGTGAAAATCATGATCTTCGACGAGCAGCGCATGTTCATGCCCAAATGGCCCCGAGACGTCGGTTCATTTTCTCTTCCACTCGTCTTTAATTAGGAAGCCACACGCGGCAAAATATCCAGTTCGGTTCAGCTCAACTTGGTGGCTCGAGCTGCTCGCTTCAAATGTGACATTTATGGTGGATTTTTGAACAGAGAACTACCCGATAATGTAGCTTTATTCTAGGGAAAATACATGATATTTCCTGGAAATAAAACAGCATCATCGGATAGTTCTCTGTTCAAAAATCCACCCTTAATTTCGGTTAACAAAAGGCCCAAGTATTTCCCAAGTAACAAGAGTTACGGTTGCTTCTAGACAAATGCGCTATCTAATGAAGCGTAGTATCGCCTTTTTCTCCAGTAGAGTAAGACCCTGTACACTATATTAACCCATTGGCATTGGAATTATTTCACCACTCGTGTACCATATTTTAGCATTTATTTTGAAAAATAATCATTACTTTACAAAATGCAATGCTTTAAGAACTAAGCCTGAGTACTGCTTTAACGTGGTTCCACCAACTCGCTGAAGGTCTCAATGTGAATTTTCATCCTAGTAGTGGAGTACCGTGCCTGGTAGCGATACTACGAGACGGTCTCGTAGGTCAATGCCAGTGGGTTAACAGTGCATACTGGTGTACGTACGCACTATATAAAGTTTCGATATCTATTTGCGTCTCACTGTTCGACGGCACTAAACGGCAAGAAATCATGGAAGGACGCAAGGGTTCGATCTTACCGTCTGAAACTCGACAAAGAATCGAAATCGAACAGCACGATCTCCCCTTTCAGATCCTGAAGGATCCCGAAGCGGCTCAGTACGTATCGGGGATCGCCGTCCACTGGTACACGGATTTCATAGCGCCTCCCGTTCTCTTGGACCTCACGCACGCGGAGTTCCCGGACTACTGGATCCTGAGCACGGAGGCATGCGTGGGATTCACCGCAAATTCCCCGCACCAAGTTCCCCTCGGGGACTGGGGACAAGCCCAGTCTTATGCCACTGACATCATTCAGGTCTCCAAATCCACCATTTTTGCTCTCATCCTTGGATATTCGTGTTCGTTCCGATCTGCCCTGCTGTCACTTTTTGAAAGTCTGTCAAACGTCAGTGATACGTACAATATCGGCAATAAATACGGTATGTACCAATTTAATGCAATGCCATTCGGGGAGGATATGTAATGTTCTTCAGAAACGGCTGAGAAGTAGAGTAGGGAAACAGCTTCTCATAAATTTTTCCATGTTTCGTCAGATACCGCTTCCATCGACCTCTGCTCTGGGGTGATAACTAGGCAGATCATCATCTCCATGTCAATCTTTTTTCTTGGCGAAGAAACGCTGGGGGAAGAAACGGGGGGGGGTAGGGAATTAAAAAGACGATCGAGAAAGCAATGCCAAGAGAAGGGGATCCCCATTTGTGTTCGTCTTCCGAGAACATATTTTTCTGATCCTTGATGTTCATCATGAATGATAACATAGTCTTATGCAATGAGTAATTGGGGGTTGAAGTCTCTGAGATGAGGGTTAACCGATCGAAAAATCATAATCACACGGGAAACGGAAATCCTAAATGGATTCGACAGAGTCGGAGAGAGTAGTGGTCCGTATCCACAATGCTATCGTCATTTGAATCGAGTCGGACAACTTTCGTCCCCATCGGAGAAGGAACTATGAGCTGATAAAAGTTTCGATTAAACGATTAAAATGCGCGCAGCATGATGTATTAATATTTTTGTGAATCATCTATCATAGTTCATTAGCGGCACTAAAAGCATTGAAGCCTCATGAACGTTGACACCTGTCCATGCTTATAATCGTTGGACAGGCTTTTATTCCTCTTGAACGTTTTGTGCATTTCTTCCCCCCCCCCCCCCCCCTTCTCTCTCCACTCTTTCTCCTTCGTGTCTCCTCATTTCCTCTCTTCCCGTTCCTCTCCTCATTCTTCAGTTCTGTCCCATGTTGGCTCTAAGATCACAGGGAATGAATCGCTTGTCCAATCGCACCGTTGAAAAATCAGACGCAAGCACGAGAGTTAAGACTTGCATCGTGTAGACCGGTGCATATACACATGCAGATGCACGGTCTTGCAGACAAAAACCTGGTAAAAGCTTCATTCCATCATATCTGCTGTTTAAGATGTCAGGCCAACATTTCTCATGCCATTCAAGCCATGTGAAAGGAGAACTCAAGACAGCGGTATTTCATTTCAATGACCTGTCTTCAGCCTATTCGACCGATTCATCGATTCCGGTTTTTATCGTGCTCGAAGCAATTCAGATCGATCGAGCTTCAATCAAGGCAGGTAAGACAGGCAGGATGCTTAGATGATGTCATTTCAATATGAATATTTTAATTCCTGGTCCGATGAAACTATTGTGGATATAAGACTCGATTATTCGTTGAAGCTCTTCACTATAATTATAATTATTATTTTAAAAAATCATTTATCGCTTTTCAGGCAGAATTTGGATAAACGTAAGTATATCTAAACAAGTGTGAATGGATCTATTCTGTCAAATCAATACTCAACATTTTCTGTTTTGACCCCTCCTCTTTTTCTCTCCTACCTGCTCTCTTTTCGATTAAACTCAAACTTTCCGCAGTTCCAACTCCACTCTATCTTCGTTTCTCTATTATTTTTCACTTCACGACTCCTTTTCAATCGCCTCACACATTGATGCTGGTTGATTGATGTTTAAAAAAAATACTATAGCCGCAAAAGAGGAGCGATACGAGGGGCTTTTGAAGAGTTCCCGGCTCAAGGCACTTACAGTAACGATACACTACCCTTTTTTTTCAGAGGTGAAAGACATTGGTAGTTGAATGTTAGATCTATTTTATTGTGGGTGACAATCTGTTTTTTTTTTTTTTTTTTTTTATCGGGGACCGATCCAAAGGGACGGAAGAGCTTGAGAAACCTCTTTCCCTTTGTAACCCCACCAGCTTTCTACTTCAGCGGTATGAAGCGGAAGGCCGGAAAGCTTCGATACCTTGTGCCTGACGAGACCGAACCAGAGTTCAAAGGATCATTATATGGCTCTCCGATGATAGAGAAGGCAGAGGAACTGAGTCACCCCCCTGCCTAAACAGCTCAGTTCGCACCCCGCTCGGGACTCCTTCATGGTCCCTTGATTGAGACAACGGTGACCTCTCCAGGATGTATACATAGAATGTATATACTTGTGACATCATCAAGGACGAATTCCGTCCGTATTAAACAGAATATTTATGGCCGAACTGATGCTTCCTGACGTCCTTATTACCTACGGGACTTTCGAAAAACAGAAAGAAAACAGTAGCAGCTCGGAACGAAGACGGAGAGAATTTACTCAACTTTTCATTTTTATCCCATTATCTTTCACGCGTGAGTCTCCGAGAGGAAACAAATACTAATTTCTTGAATATGATATCCTTATTCTTGTTCAGAACTTGAACCACTGGGTTGTGGGATGGGTGGATTGGAATCTGGTCCTGAATTTGGGAGGCGGACCGAACTGGAAGGCAAACTTCGTGGCCGCCCCCATCGTCGTCAATGCAAGTTCTGGGGAATTCTACAAGAACCCAACGTACTATGCCATGGGTCACTTCTCCAAGTTCATTCCTCGTGGATCCGTTCGTATCGGGCTCACGATCCAGGCAGCAGACGAGATGAAGAAGACCCTGCAGGCGACTGCGTTCAAGACTCCCGAAGATACCATAGTTCTCGTCGCAATCAATACGTACGTTCAATATACCTTATAATTAGAATATCGAGCTCATATTACACATCTCCCTGGTCCTGAAGGAATGGGAAAAACTAGTTCAGACTGTTAAAACTTAAAAGGGGAGTTTCTGCATTGTAAAAAAAATAATAATAATAAGCTTGGGAGTGAGGATGTCATTGAGTGTAAGCACTCCATGGAGACCTACAGAGTACATTCTTGTAATATAATTTTTGCGGCGGCTCTGGACTTATCAATTCAGAAACATGATTTAGAAGGAAAAAAAATCGCCTGCTTGCTTAACTTTCGGAGTAACTTTCCAGGAGGGATGCAAGGCAGCAGCTATGCAGGCAGACTCGTTTTTATAAACAAAAACTCGAACTTTTCTTTCTTTCACTTCCATGTGCAATCACCCCTGATTATTATGAGGACGGTCCGGAAACCTGGTTCAAGTTAAAAGTCGCTTTTTAAGGGATTAGATGAAATGACAAACTTTTGTTTCTTCCCCCCTTCAGGGACGAAGAACCAGCATACATGTCCATCCAAGAAGACAAGAGATACATCAATTTCCACCTCCATGGAAAAGCCATCGCGACCTTTGTCTGGAAGTATACTTGAGAGAAACCAATTACCCTGATTCCTCATCAACTTTCAAGATTCTACACCTTTTGCCAAGAACACCAATTTTGTTTTATTCACGAGCCTACTAATACAGAAAGACAACTTCACCGTGCTTTGTGCCTGTTTGCGACAGTGGTTCAAAGAACGCATCAAGAACGACCAATTTGAAGAGCTTATGTTTCTCCTATGGCATAAAACTAAGAGCCACCTGCAGGTCTTCTTCCCAGGGCTGAAAATAGCCTAAACCCAAGAATGGGCCAAGTATAGTGTAAGCGAGTATGCAGTATAGTGAGTATCTAGGATCATACTCACTGCACAGCCTCCTCATAATTCTAAGTGGAGTAAATGATGTCCTAGTTATGATCAATTGAAGCGATGCACCTCCTTGAAATGAATTGACAGTCTTTTACCATGTATAAGCACGTGAAAATAAACCTGAGAAGGCACAAGAGGCTACAGAATCTCTGCAAATAAGGACACCCACTATGAAGTGGGTGGGGGGATAAGTAGCAGTGCTGCACCATGCAATCCCAACAGCTCACCAGTGTTTTCTTAATCTCGGAATCCTGTAACTGCCCTAGATTTCAATGTGAGGTTCAGGAAATGTAACAAGTCCATACCTACCACACTGCAAGAATGTGCATCCATCTAGGTTCAATCAAGTCCTGAGCCCTTCAACCATGACAGTGAGAAATGAGCAGGCTAGATGTGAATGGGACAACACATAATTCTAGAATCAGTATCCTGAAGTGCACAGACTGACTATATGTCAAGGGGTGTGTGCCATTTCTACTTGCACCGATAACTCGAAGATCACTTGGAAATTATACACAATTTTTGCCTATAAGCAGAGGTTCCCTATTCATTAGATTTCTAAATGCTATAGTTACATATCCTGAAGCTGTGAGGAGTGCCTGAGAGTTTTGAGATATTTAAGTTGGTTTTCAGAGCACAACTCTTCACATCACAATTTGCCACGAATGTCCATAAAAAAAAACATGAACCCAGTGAAATTGCCATCTCACAAATATCTTGAAATAAAACAGACTCAAAGCATAGATACAATCCTCAAGCCTTTTAGAAAATATGTCATTTATTTATTCTGTCATAACAAAGATGAAAGAATGAGAATTGAAAGTTGTTAGGAGATGGGAATGACTCGACATGTTCCATCCTCAGAAGTTGTGACCACCGTCCGCCCATCCCTGCACAGAAAACACAACCAACCTCATGCGTAGTCCACCCCATACCATCCATCCTGACTCTTCCATGCCATTACAAAATACACATAAGCACATAATCTTCTTATAGCCTGGAGCAGTGGTTCTCAAACTCCCTTTTACTCCCATAGAAGATCCATGCGTTCAGTGGTCCACTGACCACAGATTGAGAACCATTGGCCTAGAGTAAGCATACTTTTGAAAATGTCATTTTCAAGGGATACCATACAAAATAATGTACCTTGTCTTTCTGGTTCATATTAGTGAGTCCTAGAATAGCTGGTGTCTCATGCATCTGAAGGATCATGAAAGCAATGGATCATTCCAGGAAGATGCACCTGCTCACATCACAACTGGTACTTTTACCATGAGAATTATTAAAGAGCATGACTGGCCTTCCTGCATGAACTGCATTGGGCTATACTCTTGGGAGCTGACCAAGAGAAGCTCTGTATATACAGGGTGGGCCAAAAAAAACCAAGCTATCATTTATGGTAAATTGTCAATCTGATTGAGACCGATTTTGATGAAATTTGGTATACACATAGGATGACTCAATTAGGATTAGTGTGCCACGTTTCAAATAAAAATGTGAAAAATCGTGAGATTGGCATTTAATTTACTTTTAACCACCAAAAAAGTAAGTGTTCATTTTTTCTCTCAGCTTAAAAATTCTCACAACTGACAAAAACAAACAAAAAGAACAAAAATCGATGCATAAATGCTGAACACGAAAGCACACAATTTGGTTTAGGGATGTACATTTCAACTGAAAAGGTGCTCAATGTGCCCTCCATTCTGTTGAATGAAAGTCTCTAGTCTGGGACACCACAGATCAATGACTTAGTCAATAAACCTTTGAGGCAGTGCCTCCCAATCTTCCTTTGTAGCATCATGCAGGGATGGTCTCAATGAGTTCTGACCTCCCTTTCATCCTGGCCTCATGGTCATATCGATATTTTCGACAGCACGTTTTGTTGTTGGTCATCAGAAAATAATTACAACTCCTAAAATTTTAAAGTCAGATGCCTGAAATTTGGCATACAAACTCCAATTGTGTCACCCTATAAGGCTACCAATTTTAATCAAAATCGACAACCTACAAAGAGATTGACAACTCACCAAAAATGATAGCTTTGTTTTTTTTTTTTGCCCACTCTGTATATCTATATTGGAAAGGAGCACAATTCATTGATGCTACTCTATATGCCCATGGATAACAATATATTGTATGCATTTATATCCATAAATGCCTCAAAAGATATTCGACATCCATCCTATAAAAAATTAGCATCTGAGCCAAAGGAAAGGTGCTGAGGGGAATATGAAGTCAAGGAAAGCATTAAGAGGAAGAAATATAGGGGGACCAGGCATAAAAAAAGGAAGCAGATGTATGGTCATTGGACAGAGGCTGTGGTTTAGATTAGAATTTGTGAATGGTTCCAAAGATAGTGTCTTCAATTAAGTTGTGTTCAGTAGGTCATTCCCTAGAGGTAGAAAGACAAAGATCAAGATGGAATAGCTTCCCCTTGTATAAGCATTGGACATCAAAATAATCTGCATAAGGAGGGTGATAGCCATTGGTCTAACACAAATGAGGCTCTTCAGCTCAGTTCAGTGATCAGTGGACATATGATAATGACTGTGCTGTCAAAATAAAGTTAGAAGTGTCAACAGGAGCAGCAGGAAGACTGATTCAGAATTTGTCAATTCTAATACTTGTACCCCACTATTGACATAAAGGCACAGAAAACCCTTCTGGCCAAGCAGAGGGACACCAACTAGTCATTCTCAAGAGCCAGAACAACTGACTGTTCCCTTACCTGACACAAGTTCACCCCACAATCACACTGAAGCAGTTTCCATCAGTAGAAACAATGCAACATAGAGAAAAATCTGACACACACCAAGAGAGGGAGAAGTCAAGGATTTCCTGTGAGTGTGGGACCCAGAGGCGAACCTGAGAGCCAGTTCGAGGGTCAAATGATCGCAACGTTCCATCCAGGCCTCCGGTGTATATCAATGCTTCTGCTGGGTCCCATGCCAACTTTACTATCCCTGACTCCTGAGTGCAGGATGCCCGATTCACCTGAGGACAAGTGATAGCATCAATGTAGACAGTAAAACATACAATAAATAAGCAACTGATAATATCTGAAACTAGGTTTCTCATTACAGGCAAGTAAATATGAAATATTTGAAACACAAGTTTTCCAGATTGTCAGCACACACTTATTATTTTCAAATGTTTAATTTACAGTCTCAAATTTTATCTACAGCCTCAGCACTTCTTCCTTTTCACAAGTAAAAAAAAAAGTCACATCACACCATTATTGTTGAATCCAGCCCAAAATACCTAATGTACATGAAGCCATGAATCACAGTTTGCTATTGTATCTGCAAGGAGGATCATAATCAGCTAGGTCACCTAAAAAGGGGGATAACAATCAAGATTTCCCATTGTAGTCTTTGTATTCAGTTTGCATGATAAAAAAAAGCCAAGTTTAGGTTGGATGTTTCAGTTCTCATATCCAAAGCTAGCAGTAACATCAGATATGGCTCTGAAATCAACATGCTGAATTTTGGAGATTGTATGCACCACTGCAGTGGCGTAGGGAAGGGGGGGTTTAGGGGGTCAGAAATATGCCTGTCTGTCAGTGACAGACAGGCATATTTCAGCCTTGCTTGGGAATTCCAGTTTTACCTATCCCCCTTTCGAGGAAAGTCCAATGTACATCCTTAGACCCAAGATGCCAGACCATGATTTCTTCAAAAGGTAAATTCCAGGTGGTGGAGCTAAGCATAGGGTTGGGGTGTCTACCTGGCCCCCCCCCCCCCCCCCCCCTTGCCGATTTTCTGCCTACACCACTGCACCGCTGCAAAAATTCTGGTATGATTTGGAAAAAGAAAAAAACTGTCTTATCTCAGCATAGCCCCAGCTGAAAGATGCAGAATCTTTTTTCGTCTACATTATTAGCATCAATATACACTAAGTGAAGACGTTGGAATGGAGGATATACCTGAGTAGAAAGATCCCAGAAAGATAAGGATCCTTGAATGGTACCTAGGGCAGCAATCACACCTCCACTAGAGGACAATGCAGAAGGAGGGCTGAATCCTGCACATTCTACTCCCCCATGTCCGGGAGACAACATCCCTACAACCTATCACGGGGACAACAGCCATGGATCATAAGTCAGGGAAAAACATACAGCACAAGCTACCTTCTCCATCCATGCTGCATAAACACAGACATCACAAGACTTCTATCTTCTGTGAGAAATACACAGACATCAGAAGACATTCAATACCTACTAGAGGAAAACCTATTAAAGGACATCTACTACCTATCTTATAACAAATAAAACAGTATTCTGAGTGCATAATAAACGTTTCTTTTCCAGGAGATACAGTAAATTATGATTTACTGCATCTAAGTTTTCATGACTCTATCTCTCAAGAGATACAAGAGATAGAGTCATGAAAACTTTGGGAAAAAATCTTTTGATGTAAAGCTACATATCAATTTATTGCATCTTGTAACTCATGGTTGCTGAGAAAAGTGAGAATGGAGACAAAAAAATCATAGCACAATTTCATGAGGCAAAGCACTTTTCCAATTGATCTACCACCTTCTTACAACATTCCTTTTTCTGAGAATCTGCCACCAAACAAGTACAGGCCAGTCTAAGCCTCATGGGATACTGGGATCTTCATGTTTTCCTGATATTAATGCTCTTCTATAAAATAAACCAAACTTGAATTTGTCATGGTAAAACAAATAGCGACAGGAATTTCTGTTTTAGACCTAGAGGCAATAAGAAGGCAATTTAACCCTGTATACTGCAGATCAATCAAATGGAGGGAATTTTAAAAATCCTGAAAAATCCATCTTATGTACTGTTATTGATCCATTACAATTTTGAAACAATGCAAAGTAGATAAAGCAGCCAGGTTAGAATAAAGAAGTCAACTTAGTCCTTTAGTAAGTTCATTTGGTTACTGAACTAATGCAGCAGGGTCAACATCTGGTTTACTAGACCATAATATATATATATAATCTCATTCAAAGAGAAGACACAAAATTCAGCAAAACATGATCTGGGAAAGGAGAGCTTTTCTTTACGTGCATGTTGGAAGAATTGATGATCTTTGCAGTGGCATCAGATGATCCTGTGAGGATGACACGATTGTCAGAGTGCACAGCTACACAAGTCACCTCTGCCTCATGATTCTGACCATCAACCAGTGTGTGAGATGCATGACCCTTCTTCAAGTCAAGAATCTGTACTCCACCATTCTCATAACCAACAACAGCTTGCTTGCCTAATGAGACCAAGGTAAAGAAAAGCATGGTGCAAACTTCCTGATTATCATTTTTCCAGAGAAAAGTTGCTAATAATGAACCTAAATTGAATACAAATCTGGACCTTCCCAGACTATGCAAATACCATTGGGGAAAAATGAGCCAGTTGTACAGGATGATGATGTAGATGAAGCAAAGACTTTGGCTTCCGAGGATGGAACTAGCCATAAACCCACAGCTCCTGATGTAGAACCTCCAAGTAGAATGTGGGCCTTTGGATGCCACTCAATCCACTGCAAGAACATGTTTACCACATAACTCACAAAGGTTTCCTCTTCATGTTCTCAATTAAAATCAATGACTCACTGTTATATCATCAAATTCCACATCCCATTCCTTCTTAAAGTCAGGTGACTTCCACACCTGAATGAGTCCACTCATGTCAGCTGAGGCCAGAAGTGATCCATCTGAACTAAAATGCACTTGCACAATTGAATCTTTATGCCCTGAAAGGGATGAAAGAATTTCTCCAGTTCTCACATCCCACACATATGCATGGTCATCTCCACCCCCAGTTGCAGCCTTCTCACCACCAGGAGAAATGCTACTGCAATATACAGGACCTGTGCATAACAATGATGTAAATGAAAGTCCAAGGCAAGATGTTCTAAAAAAGTAACATTAGCTCATAAGAGTACTCACTGAAATTTAGGTAAATTATTTTCAAATTGAAAGCATAAAGTTACTTCTTAGCAAAAATGACTATACCCAGAACCACAATTTACAAAGTAACATACCAAGTCTACTCAAATTAGTTTACCAATATGTCAGACTAAACTACAGCTGATTGCAATTCAAATAAGCACAACAGCTTCTACGAAGACTGCATGCACAAAAAGTCTGTAGTCATCCTTAGTTGCACACCTCACTAAATATAGGCTTATACCTATTAGTTGCAGTGACTTAAACCGAGATTCCAGCACTATAAAGCCCCATTTATTCAAAAGGTGGAAATTTCCATGAAATTCATGAAGGTCACAAGCTTGTGAAGACTTTCACTTCAGACTACAAAGAATAATATCAATATCTTGCAGCCATCTAATGCCTTGCACATTATGAAAGCAGAAACAAGTTAAACAATTATAGACAACTTGGCAGAAGACTTAAATTGATGCCAACCCTTTTTTAAACAATTTCTCCTTTTCATGAGATATAGCCTCATGACCTAAATGTAGAAATTAGGATATAGAAACACATAATAGCTTAAAGGTATTTGTCAGCTTACTCATTTTAACAAGTTCTGCCATTATGGATAAGATTTTTAAAATGCATGACTCATTAAGCTTAATCAAGGGACTTGATAGACTTTCTGCATTCAATTAGTCTTCAGCTTCTGAACATACCTAGACTCACCAAATCGAAAAAAAAGTTCTCAAAACAATAGGCAGGGCCTCAACAATAGTATAAAGCAAGGCATTAGTTACAATTAAAAAAAAAGTTTACCTTCATGTGATGTGAAGGAGAGAAGTGATGTATCATGAGGGAAGCTGGAAGATTCGCCTATTTCTTCATCACTTCCATCACCCTCAGCCTCTTTTAGTAGATCTTCTGAACATTTCTCATCATCCTCCACTTCCACAATTTCAAACGCACCTTCATCTGTCACCATTAAAACCTGTTCCTCATTCCCTTCAGCCATCCTTCATATCTCCACAACTATGGAGTTGGAAAAGATGCAACAGACACCAGGTAAGGTAGCCTATCCAACACATGACTTGGCCTACACATCAAGTTAATTAGGAATCTTTTTTATTAATATGCTAATTTCTCGAATCACCTCATAAAAAATTGTATTCAAGCCAAAGCGAATGATTCACTATACAAGTTTAGGCTAGGCCTTACACTGGGACTCATGTGGGAAATGTTTGTGGCCTCAGACCTAAAGGGGCATTGGTTATGATTATTCATACGTCAATGAGAAGCTCCACCGTGACATTTCATAGGCGTTGACCATTAAATAGTTCGAATAAGGCTCGATCTATTGCTGAATGATGTGCAAGTGAAAGCTCGAGTTTTCGACCTATGTCAATATACTTGAGTGGCTAAAATAGAAGTAGAAAGCGGTAGACCAAACTAGCAACGAGCTTGGCACGTGTCGGCTTCAAAGGCGCCGCCATACTGTCTAGATCAGGCACACTTTTGAGGCAGGATTACCCCCAGGATATAAAAAATTTCGATGTAGTTAAACCAATATGCCTTTTAATTACTTACACTATGTTGCTCCCTTTTTTGTTTTGTCCATGAAGCAGGGAAGCGTCTGGGGTAGTCAGAAGTCAAGGGATCAGGAGTGCAGCGTAGCCAGAAACAAATTCCTATGGAGAGCGTGTCAGAAAGGTTGAGGGAGAGGGGGAAGGGAATGTCTGGGACCCCACTCATTTTCTGATGCCCTTGGGTCAAAGACATAAGGTCTAAAAGCGTCCGTCCCCCTCCTTTGAGGAATTGGGGGGGAGGATGGCGACAAAAGTCAGGTATGAGGGTATAGTCGAAATGCAGAAAGAGGGGGGGATCTTGCTTCCCCATCACCCTCCCCCTTTGACACGTCCTTGCCAAAAGGGCAGGGCCAGATTAAGGGAAGGGGGGGGGGGGGGGGGGGGGGAAAGGGGGCTTTTGTCCCGGGCCCCACTCTTCCAGTGGAGCCCTCTGAAGAAAATTAAAAAGTTAAGTATTTGCGTAAAGTAGCCGGGGGGAACACCCCCCCCCCCCCCCTGCTTCTAGGCCCACTTGCCCCGGGCTTCGCAACTTCTTAATAGAAGTACGAAAGTGACAAAAGGCTCGTGGCCCCCACGAGCTTTCCCAGTCCATTTCAATTCTTTTTATCCCAATTTGAATTAAATTTCATCCCTCCTATACGTCGTAGAAAACGAGATACGAATACCCAAACCATCTGCAAACCGCTGTAATTTGAAATAGGGTGGAGAGAGTCAGACTCAACTTTAGAACAAGAGGGAGTCCATTACACTGTCATTAGGTGCAACTAGGGCTGAAGCCAGACTTGCCCGAGTCGGTAAAACTGACCCCCCGGGGGACTGATTGCACTGCATTCCCTCGAAAGTCAGACTTGCAAGAGTGACAACTCATAAAGCCCGACTTAGGAAAGCCTGGCTTCAGCCTCAGTAGCATTGACTATTAGTCAGGGTCACTGCAACCGGTTATAAATTAAAGACAGGCTCACAGTCAGACTTTGCATTAAAGCCAAAGGCCGCACAACCGGCCCCAGGCCTGGCGCTGTCTGGACTTAAATGGAACTAGTGCAGCCTTGTGCACAGCCATGCGTAGAGTTCCACCTGTGCCTCGCCAACGCAGCATTTCACACTTGACGAAAGCCCTTGCGTGAGACCTTTTCCTTATTCACCCCTTTTATTTTCATGGGTAGCTGAGTTTTCATGAGCAAATAGCTTACGCTGTGTTCAGATTGAATTTGTATCTCCCCTCCTCCCTCTGATAGGAGTACTACTATCGATTGCAGGTAGGGACGCTTTTCACAAGGATAAATTTTTTTTTATCATCTGATGAAACGGTTCCTCTAGCAGTAGCGCTTCCTCTGTTCTCTACCCAGGGTGGGGGTGTCACGAATTCCATTCGAAAACAGTGTAAAATAGTGGTTTCCAAACTTTGGACACCGGCACCATTGGCCGATGACCGATGGCACCGATAGTGCAAAACTGGCGGCCGATACCGGTGTTAGCCGATACATCGGTACGGCCCTAGACAATATGAAAAAAAAACTTAAATTGGTTTGGTGCAACTTCAAACATGGCTACCTCAGAAGGCTTACCTTCTTTATTGGATGGGAAGTTCTAAGTATTGTTAAAAGAGAGGGGCAAAAGGTCAAGGCCAAATGTGCTGCATGTTCTACAGAGAAATTGATTACTCTCGCTGCAGCATCCAACTTCTTCAATAATTGAAGGTTGATTGTGTTGCAATATCTTGGTGTGAATTTGCTGACTTAACCTATCCCTTGTAGGGTATGGTGCTCTGGGGGGCTCCCTACAGAATGGGGTTTCCGGAGTGCGGGGATCTCCAGAGAGTTATCAGGAAAAGTATCTGGAGATGTTATCTGCGAAGGTTGCGATGTTCGGAGAGGTTCGTAAGAGAGACCTCTGTGATCGGTAGCAGGAAGTCCGTCCAATTGTAATCGTTGACTCCAAGGTGTAGACTCCTATGAATTACTCAGGACTCCGGGTTTATATAAAAGGGTGCGTAATTGGACACTACGCACAGTTTATTATACAAGACAACAAAAGGGATAGGTAAATAGGGTTAGTAGCAAATAACAGCCTCACGTTGATGAGGGAGCCTCAGGGTCGTCCTCGTGCGTCCCAGTTGTCCGGTGGAGGAGCACCGTCACCACAGTTCCTCTAATAGTCCGCACGGTCCTGTGCGGCAGCTGCGTGAAGGCTCGGCACGGCTTCATACAAAAATATTTAGCTTTAAGAGGGTTAGGCCTACCCTAAAATTAAGGAACGCTCGACCTCGACACGTGATACCGAAATGGGCGAAATCGCCTCTTGATATCACTAACTCTCCTGACCACAGTTCCTCTAATAGTCCGCACGGTCCTGTGCGGCAGCTGCGTGAAGGCTCGGCACGGCTTCACGCGTGCCGTGAGTGCGTCCGCTCACTTTGGCTCTCGGCGACCCACTGCCGATGGACTGCTCAGGGAAGGTGGGATGTCCTGGCGTACGTATGCGTATGAGGGAGGAGGTTCTTCCCTCCGTATTCATTACGCCATTCCCTGCGGGGTTCGAGGAGGACTCCACACATTTACTGTGTGATTTACTCTGAGTATTTAATGCTAAGTAAAATGAAAAATCCGCAGGATTGAATAATGTGCGAGGGGGCTTTACATGCTTAGCTGACACGTAGCTTCAGCAAGCTCTATATTAAGAATGAGAGTGCTTGCTTCTTGCCATCCATTCCTCTGTCAGCCTCGTTCAGGAACGGAAAGATCCATCACGTTGGTCAACAAATCAATCTTTTTTTTATTCGTAGGAGAGGTCCACTTCTCTAAATTTTTCATTCCAATCATAATAAGACTCATTGGATCAAGTACAAAATGGTTGATTTTTGAAGTAAAACATATTCGACATGTAAGGTTGGAATTGATCTAAGTTTATAACTAGTACTGTACCTCCACGGATTAACCTTTATCGGACGGATTTAAATCTCCCGCGTAAGAGCTGACAGCCAGATTAACAGTTAACTCAGCAATTACTCATTTAATATCAGAGCATTTTCTCCCAAAAAAGTTGTGGTACAGCATTTGTACCTTGAGGCCATGGAAAAATCCATTCTGTGACAGCAGTTGCGACGTTCGTCCGATAAAGGTTAGTAATTATGGGCATGTATAGCTGGAAACGTGCAAAAAATGGTATTGAAACTGAGATGTAAGAACAAATAATCAAAGTATATTAAATCCGACGAGATAAAATGAAATCAGGACTTTCACAGGTGGCTTATGAGGTTCAGAATATTAAAATCCCGGATCCCATCAGACCGAAGATGACCTTTGCCCCTCCATTTTCTTAAGGTGGTGCCTTCTGTCATCAATGTTCCTTGTTCGAGAACTTGACCCTAATGAATGTCCTTGTACGAGCATATAGCAGTATCGCTCTTGATTCCACAGAAGGGAATGTTGATTGGAGATCAGCTACAAGATTCTTAGATTCTTGATTATACCCTTCTTGGTGATTCCTGCCCCATACTTAGCTGCAAAGGTTGCCTCAAACTGTTCCATCAGATTCAACCAGTTATTAGTAGGTGTACATAACCTTTGAATTTCCAGCTGCTGGATCCAGGTTCTCCTTCTTTCACTGCTGTCATCTAAGCTCGATATTCCCGTATGATCCAAGGTTGTAACTCCCATGCCTTCCTTCCTGCGAGCAATATAACCTGATGGTCTGGCCTAGGTCTACGAATTAACCGCTGATATTTCACGTATGTGATCCTGCACAACAATGTGCATGAATCACTCAACTGGACCTGCACGGAAAATCACTCGTCATACAGGTCACTCCCACTCGACTTCCATGGTGACGTAGTGCGCAGAGCTGCGAAAAACTCGCCCACCACTGCGCTTCGAGCTGAGACTACCTTATATTCTATCTACCTTGACTGAAAGGCTCATTTCCATGCAAGCAAGAGTATCCATTTTTATTACTAGAATTCCCTTTTATTTATATTTATTTAAACCAATTGTACGAGGTGCGCGCACATAGACCCGTGGGGATAAGGATATAAGGGGCACGACGGGATTCGTTATCTGTTTCAGCAATAAGGGGAAATCAAGAATCGAGAAAGACAATTGTAATTTGCACAATTGTAAAACATCAGGGAAGGGAACCGCGAATCCTCCAAATGTGGGGAAGGGGGGGGGGGGATCGCTGTATTTTGGTGATTGCTTACGTCATCTCCTGTACATCAATCAATACCAGTACCAGAACACCAATACCAGTACCAGTTCAAAAATGTAAAAAAAAAGCTCCAATCCCCTTCATCTATATTTCAAATTACACATTTTAAAAGTTACATACTGCGCAAATCCCTTACCAGTTTCTTCATAATGGTTCTTGAATTAAGAGATAGACAGAAGTACATACTTAATGTACATGGGTAAACTACAGTACAGTAGAAGGGTAAGCTTTTGGTACCACTCATTTGCACTTCTTCCAGTGCCTCAGGCTTGGCTGTGATTCATACTTTAGAGTAGAGAGAAAAGTAAATTTTATTCATATAGGGAGGAAGAACTACACAATTCATTGACCTTGAGAAGAAGCAGAAGCAGAACTCTCAGCATGAGCCTGACCCTTGGTAGCACCAAATTCCAAGATTTGTTTCCTGTGCCACTCCAGGTGTTCCCGTTCCTTTGCTGTTGTCAAATTTTGTTCTGCTTCCAACTACAGGAGATGGCGAAAATTCGAAATTACTCCCACATATGAAAAATCAAAATTAAAGAACTGTAGACAAAACGTGTGGCAAGAAACAAGTCCAGCAAGAGCATGGGGTGGCCAATGGATTGGCACACACCCTCTAGATCCATCTTGAGTCAGACTCAGACTTGAAACGGACGAATTAACCATTTCCTTCTTGCAAAATTGCAAAACAAACCAAATAGTCTGCAAAATTATTCCTGTGCTTCTGCTATTGATTTAATAATGTCCATTCCATCAATTTTAATAAACAAGTAGAAGGAGTCACACACACACACACACACACACACGAGAGCATGTTTACACATACACATTACACATACATTTTCATGAATCACAGAAATGGCAAAAATATAAGAAAAGGAGATTAGGTACTAGCAATGCAGCAGATCTACAATTCACTGTCTTCACAGTGTCCTTCACAGCAGCACAAGTCTTCTCAGAGTGGGGATAGGTCTAAGCTGTGTGAGGATTCAGCTTTCTCTGTGTCAGAACCTTTGCATTGAATTCCAATAGGGGAGGTTGGTCTGCTGATGTCTTGAACAGAAACAGTCAACTGACCTCTTGCTGGACCAAGATGTCTGAAGTAGAATATCAACTAATCCCTTAATAGACTAGTCAGCAATCATTCAGTCTCTCCTGAACCAGGATTTAGGAAACTATTTCTATAAATAGTTTTTGGACACTAACCATCCTGATTCATCTCTCCAACAGTTCTATTACAGTCACCAGTTCACACCTGAGCTGCTGCTGCTGTTTCCTTTTGCTGAAGACCTCTCAAATGGATCTCACTTGTTACCCCTGCTTTCTCTTACAACCAACAGGTACTACAGCTCTTTACAAAACCTCTGATTGAATATTCCTGAAAACCTCTGGCAATGACTGGGTATTTCATCCATGACCTCCTTCCTTCAATTCTCTCCTTCAAACACCAATCACTCCTCTCAATTCTCATAGCATACAGCTCAAGGATTCTTACTCTCTTTAATCCACTTCATGATGGACTTTTTCTCCTCTATCCAAGTCCCTGTTCTCCTCTTCCCTACAGTATAAAAGACATTCTGCTCTCTCTGTCTCTTAAAGCAAGTTTAGGCATCTAAATATACGTGTATGAAAGTTAGTAGCATGAGAGATTACCAACACATAGCCTATATCACTAACGAGTATTCCCATTTTCTTGTAAGTGCTCCAAAAACCCTGCCTGGCCCTCTCAAACAAGTAACTTTTGTATGAGTACACTCACATGTGTAAACTCACCATCACCTGCTTGCATCATCTTCTAACCTTACTTTCCATAGAGGCTGGGACCTGGCACAAGGGTTTCAAGGGAACTTGGCATGGAGTCCCTTCTTATGTGAGGACTCCACATCAGGATCCCTTCATGTGATTTGTACAGGGGCTTCTACACATAGGAACTTTCAGTTGGGGGGGGTAGCATTCCCTGCCAGGGTTGGGTAGTAATGTGTGACTGTAACATGTTGAAAATTTTAGGAATGGTAATGGCAATCATAATCATTCTATCTCGCAAGATGGAACAAATAATAATATTTCATTCCTTTTTTTAAAATTTAAAGTGCTATGGTCATCATTGCCAGTGAAAAGTGAAGAAAATAAAGGTCTCCATTCTTGTCAGTTCCATTCTTTTTTTCTTTTTTCCCAGTGTGGATTAGCCTATGGTAGCGATAGCGAGCATGTCCAAAAGACAACAAAAGGAACTGTAACTATAATGAGCTACTTTAAATTTAAAAAAGGGACTAGTATTGATAACTAGCTCCTTTTCTGCCAAAGTGACTGTACCTGAAAATAAGTTCATTTTCAAAAGTAACATGCCCTTTCTCATACAGGAATGTGGTCGAGGGCTGGAGGGATCACCAAGACAGGTAAAAACTAGATCAGGTTAAGAACTGTGCAAGTTTGGAGTAATCAACACTGATCCTGAATTCCTATTTCAATTGGGGGGTCAAGGCCCTACTGGATAGGAATCACTTACCTATATTAGTTTCATCTAATCATGGTTAATCACAAAATGTGTGCATGCATTTCAATCCCTGGAAGTAGGGGTATAAGTCAGAGTGAAGAATGTATACAAAATCATCCCTGCACCTGATCCAGGATAGAAGTGAGCTTTTGAGTAGCAGCAGATGACAATTCTTCAGCTCTGGCAGCACATGCAGCTGAGGCAACAGACTTGAGAATCTGATGAGTTTGCAGCAGCAAAAACTCCATTTCCTGGCATGAGGAAAGAGACAGTTAAAAAGAGGAGAATGAATTATTAATACCCCCTACAACTTGCATGGTCAGAAAGTTGTTAGTACTTGGAGGTGTTCAAGGGACTCTTTCATAGCCAATCTTGCTGCTGAGAGCTGAATCCAGGTATCTTGCTGATAATGGTCATTTGACTGATACAGGAGAGATGCCATCAAGAGATCATTCACTTTGTCCATAGCATCCCTGATGGGACAAAATCATGATCAGCACATTTAAATTGTACCACTCATGCTTCAATTTCAATGACCACCTTCTTGCAGATAACAAGCATATACACCGGGAGGAAAACTTCAGGTCACCTGTAAGTGCTGTGTGCCATGAGAACAGCTTCCAAGGTTGCATCAGCAAGGCGGAATGCTGCATTCATTGAGGCCTCACAAGCCTGAACAATTGTCTGTTCTTGAATACTCCTGATATCCTCCTCTGAGTATTCTTTTCTCTGTAATCAGAAACCTTACAAAGCAAATGAAGTAAAGCGATGATTCTGACTTGAGTCAACAGTAGAAATACCTCTGTTTCCTCATCTGCATCAGGATAACTCATTTCAGCTTTAACCAACACCAGAGCAGGAAAAATGATATATCTTGAATGACTGGGAACAAGTCTTTTCACAGGATGAATGCTACCAAGCCAGCTACCCTTTCCACATTTTCTACACAGCTGGGCAAGGAGAATTCTCACATATTGCTTTGGGAGTAGCATCTTCAACCAAAGACATGTTTGTTTATAATACACTAATGCATTGTCCCCATTATGATAAAATGTAGATATATGGCAATGATTTAGATTTTTCCAAGGAAGAAAATCACGATTTTCTGGCAGTTCTGGGTCATTAACACCTGACCCTTGGGATAGAAAAACCCAACTCACTGTCAGTGTCTTCTTATTCCTTCATACAGCCCATGTGGTGTGATGCTAAAGTAAGTATGCAGTTGAGAAATTACAAAGCTCCTGGTGATTTCCAAACAGATTGATGAAACTTCAGTTTGGTAGAAGGAAGAATGTTTAGAAGTTTATTCTTTTAGTTTATACTTTATCCACAAATATCTATTTTAAAGGAGAAAAAAAGAAAAGAATAAAAAATTCAAAGTTTTAGTTTAGTTATTTTTTGTCTGGTTGGAAGAAGTGAGATAAATTACTTGAATTGGAGTAAATAATGTATTTGAATAATGTATTTAAGGTCTTTCAATGAATTTTGCTGAATCAAAAATCCAACTATTGTCATCCTGTAGATTTATTTTATGGATTTTGGAAGGGATGAGTTCACAGAGGATTTATGGATTTGAAGGATGAACCTTACATCCTTCATCTGCATCTTCCTCAAAGAAACATGATCAAGTCCTCCTAGTAACTTCTGTCACCAACATGAAACTTTGGCATCTAGTGGCTTCATCTAATTTAATAGTATCTCTCTCTCTGATAAATGAACTTCCTTCATATACAGGTTGTAACAAAAGTTATTGTGCATATAAACAACACAACAGTTTGTGAAGCATGATTTCTTCGTCATACATTCTGAATGAAAGCGTTTTATGTTGTGTATAAATATATGTTGCTTTTTTTTACAAATCACTAAATTTACTTTAAAAAATACAGTGTTCAGAATGTGTGATGAAAAAATGATGCTTTGCAGATTGTTGCATTGTTTGTATGCACAAAAACTTTCATTACAACCTAGTACATAGAGCACTTGATAAGTCTTTGCAATTAACATGATTTCCTTATCCATTTCTTGATATTTTTTCCCAGCATGTAATTGATGATTTTGCGATGTGTGTCTGCCAAGTTGCAGGAGTCTGGTGTGAATAGTTAGCTGTGAGTTTAATTTCAAGTGCAGTTACCTTGACACCTGAGAGTTCACCTGTAGAGCCCTGAAATTATGACAAATGGGTCATGAATTTGCTATTGCTGGGAATGAAGTCTCTTTTGAAGCAAGTGCCATTCTAAAATGTCGGAGGCTTTAGGGCAGGGATGCACAACTCAAAAGGTTGTGGGGGCCATTTGCAATTTTTGCTCACCTACTGCAGACTGCAGTCTGGCTGACCATAGCTGTGGCCAACAGGACAGGAGCCATAGTAGCACTTACAATGCCACCAATCATGGCAGGCACCTAGCAAGAGCCTCGTGGGCCATAAGTTGTGCACCCCTGCTCTAGGGGAAGCTTCTCCTTATCAAGTACCCCTCATTTGTGTTGATTTATTCCAAATTTCCACATGAAGAGGTCACTTCTTATGAATTACATTTTGCCTGAAAATCATATTGCATACAAACTCCCTCAGCTGTTTTCCTTTAACAGACATTCTTCTTGAGGACATCTGCAATACATAGATCTCATAAGGAATATGCCACAACTTGATAGGACAGGAATTACATCCAACTTGCCCAGGTCAGTTGGACTATGCCTATTGACTTTGAATAGAGTGAAATGATATTCTGGAAAATGAAATGCTAGTGTTCCTGGCAGGGTTAAACTTATTTCAACAACAATTTGTAGAATTCTCTGGAAAAAGGGCTTATGTGCAAAAGGCACAATTAGAGAAAAGCAGCAAAATCCCCTTAGAACTCAATTGTAACACACTTGAATTTACTTTTCAGTAATATGACATCCTATACTTCTCATTCAAACTTTGGGCTGAAATTAAATTTCTTCTAGGTTACCATAATGCAAGCAGAAACTGTTTATGTACATATGCCCCATTTCCATATCCACACTACCAGAACTTTTTCTGCTATTCTTTCAGTAGTAATTTTTTATTTAAAAAAAATTAATTTACCTCTGAATTGATCTCTAGGTTAAAAAAAAAATAAAAACTTTCCTCAGAGATAGACAAGGAAAACAGGAGAAATCTGAAAAGCTTTCTTGAAAGTGAGTCTTCTACACAATGAGCACAAGCAATGCTGTGTGAATTTCCCTTCAAGCATCCTTTCATAGGTTTGGACAATCTTCTTCCACTTTACTTACTACAAGTGGCCACAAGGAAGCCCCAGGGCACATGCCTGCCATCTAGCAGGAGGATGGAGAAAATTGCTACTCCCTTACTACAAACACATCTAAACCATCTCAAGATCAATAAATTCTATTGCAAGTATTCTAAAGCAGTTCTAAAGCCAAAGAGCCCAGATATGGACAAAGTGCATAAGGGCACTAATGCCCTTTTCCAGAAAACTCAATTGCTCCTATGGAGGCTGACCTGGCTCATAATAAAGTTACTTGAAACTAGCTTTTAAATGTAGAAGTCAAAATGTGATGTATTCCATTCATATCTGGATGAAGTCAGCTATGAGATTTCATTTGAGAAAACAGGAATAAGAAATGATTGTTGACTAAGTCACACATATCCTTCAAATCAAAAGAAACCATTACATTAGGGTGAAATGCATTCACATCACATCATGCTGAAAATGTCATTTTATTATAATAAAAAAAATATATTCACTGGAGGAGCTTTGAGATGTGCTAAAAAAAAAAATCACAATGAAAATGGAGATCATGATAGTTCTTCCATAAGTGTAACAGGACAAACTTAATTCAGATCACATTGGTCATTGGTTATCCTCACATCACAGCCTCAAACAATCACAAAATTCTCTTTCTGCCAAAACTTGCAATTTTGTCACACCATAGTAGCAGCTGCATCTCAGCACATCACAGAACATAGTTCACTCACCATGGCTAGTCATAACAGCACAATGTTGCTCAAGTATCCCCAGCATCTCCTCCCCAAGAACTAATTCCTCACTCAAGGACTCAGCAGCACTTGGATGTCTCTTGCAATATTCTTTCATATACTGCCAAAGAAAGGATATGGTGATATCAAAAGTCGTCCTGCCACACACACACTTCCTTTTTCCTAATAGGGTAAACACCAGTTTTTGGCCACACTGATATGACTCCCATAGGAAGTGGACACCCTGTGCACACACTGGGAAACACCAGTAATAGGTTCTCGTACGGGAAGATAAAACAGCCAGATTAACTAATTATGCTGGATTTAAGCCTCACTGGCCAACAACTGGAGACCGGCCAGAAACCAGGGTGCTAACCCTATATGAGCCTTGATTGACCAAACAGGATCAGACAGAATCCTTCACTGTTTTGAATTACACCTCAAAACTAAAACATTTTTCATTGGAGCAATGAAAAAGGGACACAGGTAATTAGGCTTAATCTACCTCACTAAAGTATGATCACTGCTTATTCACTTCAACCATTAAGGCAAATCAAACTAGTAAAAATTGAGTCAGTGGCAGTAATATCACTCTGGTTTCTACTGCAGGAACCAAAAATAATCCTCATTGAAAGGGAGCACAAGAACATTAGCACGGCTAAAAAGTTACAAGGCCATTACAAAATTTGATGAACCCTTCCCAGTAAGGTAATTCAAAGTCTTTGGTAAAGAGCACAACTGAACTTTAAACTATGCAAACACAGATAATGGCAACTGGCCCTATAAGACAAGCTGAAATCTCATACTTTTAAGTGTTGAATAGCTTTCCTTTTGTGCTCCAATGCATCTACTCCATTTGTGTCCTTCATCTTTGTGTACAGGTAGCCCATGTTGAGGGATGCCAGCAGGGCATGCCTCTCAAGCTCTTCAGGAAAATTCTCTGGCAGGTTCCCACTGAAAACAAATGCCCAGGCATCATTATAATTTCAATAATGGCATGACACTAGCAATAGTGCATCCTTCAAATACTCACAGGGTACCTTTGATGAGATCAAGAAAACCCTGAAAAGCCTGGATGGCCTCTGAGATGAGAAAATTGATCTTCTTTTCAGCCTTCCTTTGGGCGTCTTCATCCAAATTTCCTGCTTGCACACGTTCCTTAAGGATTTTTTCCTTCAATTCCACCATGGTCTTATATATCTTCCCAAGCTCATACTGAAGTTCCTGGCAAATGTGCTCATAAAACACGGGATTCAGCTCATTCTTCAGCTCCTTGATCATGTCAGCACGTCGCTTCAGCAACTTGCTTTGCCTAAGGGAAACCGCAACAAATATTACATATGATAAATGGGTGAGACCCCCCAATAAATGCAATTGTTGACTAACTGCTGTACTGTCAGCATTCCTCACCTACTCATATCTGGCTCAAATGTAGAAAGGTGGTTGTAGAGTTGGGATATATGCTGCACTATTTCAGAATGAGTTGAAGCATGATCCGAGAGTGTGAAAAACTCCTTGGCAACCTTGAACCAGTCTCTGGCTTTGCAAAACACATTCCTGGCTCCATCAAAGTTAGTAACCAGCTCAGATGGGAAATAATCCTCATATGGAGTGACCTCAAGAGTGGAAAATATCATGTCATTGGCAGATGAGGGAATGATGCCAGGTAACCCTGATTCACCATATTCAGCTTCTGGTCCTTCCAACAAAGGACCCACCAGCAGGTCTCCAACTGGATTCTGTGCTTCTTGAGCATTTCCAGAGGCTTCCAAGAGGGATAGGCCATATTTGCCCCAGTACCAAGCTACTTTGGCTTCTGTCTCCTCCAATTCCTCTTGATCTAGGTCCCCTGATTCTCCCTTCAACCTCTCCAATACACAAGTAGCACTTGCCAAATGATGTCTGGCACATCTGGAAGTGAGTTATTATAGTTAAATTTCAGTCATCTGCACTGCTAGGGGCAACTACTAAAGATTGTGTTGTGAGTAATACAAGGTTTACAGTGGCCACTGTTGGCATGGTGCATACTGCCAAGATATGCATGGACTGGCTGAAGGAAAAATTCCCAGGAAAAGTGATAAGCACGTACAGAGACATCCCCTGGGCTGCAATCTCAATCCATTAATTTCTTTTTGTGGGGATTTTAAAAGGAATGTGTATTCTCTTTGAATCCCCACACAATTAATCAGTGACTGAAGAAATAAGAAGTATAACCTATGGTACTCTGAAGAAAGTCATTCAAAACATTCCCAGAAATTTTATTGAAGTAACTCAATGACATGGTGGACATTTTGAACATGTTAAGGGATAAAAGCTGTTTGAGTTGAGCTTCAAAATTATTTCTTTTCCTTTCTTCATTTAAATAAATCAAAATTGTATTAATAATTGCAATGTGTAACATATTTCATTTTCACCCTGTATATTCATGAAAGGAATTATATTTCCCTTTCTGCAATGTGTAACATATTTAATTGCCACCCTGTGTATTCATTATGTGAATTTCCCTTTCATTCATTTCCCTGGTCTACTTTATTTTTTTACATCCCTTTCCATATACTCGGTCCAATATATTGGGTTGGTACATAAGTCCTGATGGCTTTTTTTTTAATTTAATAAAAATGCCCCTTATAGCTTAAAGCGCAGATGCCATGCATATATAGAGCCGTGAAGTTATGCTTTAAGTTGGCATTAAAATCCAACTCTTTTGCATATTGTGTAAGCAAGAAAATGTCAGAGCTTCCCATGCATATTTGCCACTGTATTTTGTGCAATTCGATTTCAGCAACAATGCAGCATCTGCCACTTGTAATATATGTGCTACATATGACAAGGGCGTGGTTTCTGAATGCACATGTCAACGGCACTTCGAGAGGTTTCGTAATGGTGACAAGTCCCTGTAAGATAAACCATGGTCCGGGTGCCCAGTCAAGTGTGACATTGAGAAACTGCATGTGCTGGTGGAGGACAACCAGCAACAGTCTATGGGCGAATTGGCAGTGCAGCTCGAGTGCTCCCATGTGACCATTGAACGCTATCTCAAGGACTTGGGCAAAGTGAGCAAACTGGGCACATGGGTACCCCACCAGTTGACATCTGACAACCTCCAGCAGAGGATCAGCATCTGCAACTTTATGCTGTCGCAGTGGGACCACCTCCACCAAATCATCACAGGAGATGAGATGTGGGTGCTCTACATCAACCACACCTGCAAGTAACAGTGTGTCAGCCGTGACAAGCAGCCAGAACCAGAACCAAAAGGTGACCTTCACCCAAAGAAGGTGCTGCTCTCTGTCTTTTGGGATTTTCAGGGTGTCATCATCTTCGAGTTGCTCCCGCCCAATACCATCATCAATGTCACTGCTGATGTCTACTGTGCTCAGCCGCAGAAGTTACAGGACGCCCTGCGCAATAAGTGTCCAGGATGAGGCAAAGTTCGCCTACTCCATGACAATGCCAAACCACACATGGTGAAGGCTACTCATGAAATGCTGGAGAAATTTTGCTGGGAAGTCCTGCTTCATCTGCTGTATTCACTGGACATCGCACCTTCAGATTACTACTTGTTTTGGGTGCTACAGAACCATCTAAAGGAAAAACGCTTTGATGATAGTGACCAGCTGGAAAAGGACCTGCAAACTTTTTTCAAGTTGAAATCCCCCCAATTCTATGAAGATGGTATTATGGATTTGCCCTGTAGATGGGAATACATTGTAGATAATGATGGCACATATAATGTTGATTGATTTTCTTTTTTTCAATAAAAAATGGAAAGTGAAAATTCCGACAAGACTTATGTATCAACCTGATAATACAAACCATCAAATTGATGCTATTTCCAGGATGCTAGAGCTACTTCGATAAAGTGCAAAATGTGGCATATAATAAATATAAAACTCTTATCCCACCTGTAATGTACAGCCATCTGTTCACCAATGAGTGAAACACTATCTCTGCTGCATATAATTCTGCACATGTAATTTTTTCATGACAAAAGAAAAACTCATGCAGTAGGGGTTATGACAAAAAAGCTTCTAATTGCCACATTTAACTTTTCCAAATGAACATTTTATTTCAATATTATGTCCCAGAGCCAAATGCATGCCAAATTTCAAGGCATAGTTCCCATGAGTTTTTGAGAAAATTTGAAATAGCAAATCATATGTAATATGTTTGAATTGGATGCGTTTGGTGGGTGGGGTTTTGAAGCCCAGACACAGTTAACATGACCTAGTTATAAGCAGCATAACCCAAAGATAACGAACTTTCCACAAATGCAGAGGGGCAGACTTGTATGGGGTAAGGCATGAGTTAGTACATAAAGAAATGCAATGAAGAAATGCAAATGTCTTGTATTATACTTAACTAGCAGGAAGGTCCTCAAATATCATGCAATCGAGATAGTTAGCACCTTTGGATTGGGAATCCAGATTAAAACCTGAAATAGAATGATCAAAAGGGTACACATATAACAGGTCTGGATTCTATGCTTATTTTTAATGAAGTTTCAGTTCACCTATTGTACAGGGTGTCCATAAAGTGACTAACTATGGATGATTTCTTTATTATAGACCCTGAAGTAGCCATATTTAAAACTTTTGTAGACTGACAATGTACCGACTTTGGAATAGTGTCAGAAGAATAAAACAAGGAAGTCATGAAAGTAATGTTATTATGCTTTTCTGATAGTTGAGCTGCAAAATGATTAAAGAGCAAATCAAAGCAGATTGATGGATGATGGTATTTGAATGTCCAGTTGGGGCAGAGTTGGGAGTTACGAAGGCATCAAGAAGGAGCCTCTAACTTACACAGTAATTTACACTTTGGAGTGGAATTTTCTTAAAATACAGGGTGTCCACAAAAGATTAATACAAATTCAATCTTTAATAAATCATGAATGGATGAACATACATATATTTGGTTTGCAGCAAACAAAAGCTAGGTATTTCCAGTTTTATTACATGCATTTCAAAATTTAAAATAAATTGTTCAAACTATTTTTCAGCTTGTCAAAAGTGAAATGGTGACTTCACAAGAAAAGGCGAGTGCATGTTGTGGTTTGTGGGGATGAAGTCAGTCACACAGGTGCAGCACAAGTTCAGAACTGTTGACAGCAAGGATCCTCCTGTCTGCGATTCAGCAAAATAATAGATGAAACAATTTAAGGGCAAAGGAAGTGTGCTGAAGGAGAAGTGCTCAGGTGGCATCTACACATCTCTACTGGCACAGGGCATGGACCATCTTGGGCTGCACTCAAAGGCTTCCCGCACACATTCAACATCGGCATCCAGTGTTGAAAGCTTTACAAGAACTCTTTTCTCTTGGACAGGAGGATCCTTCCTACAAAGAGTTCTGAACTTGTTCTGCACCTGTGTGACTGACTTCAAATCTACAAATCACAACACACACTCACCTTCTCTTGTAGAGTCACCAATTCCCTTCTGACAAGCTGAAAAATAGTTTCAACAATTTCTGGTAAAATTTGAAATGCATGTAATAAAACTAGAAATATCTAGCTTTTGTTTGCTGAAAACCTCATTTATGTACATTCATCTGCTAATGATTTATTAAAGTTTAAAGTTGTATGAATCCTTTATGGACTCCTTATAGGGTCTGCTGATGACTGCTGATTGGTCGACTTCCTCTTTTTCTGTTTTACCTTTCTGTTTTTTGGGCTCTCCTATTGACTGATATAAAAATTTTTTTTTAGCATGCCTGAATCTCTTGCACTGTTTTATTCATTTACCTTGAATGAAGTAGGTGAAGCATTTTCTTGAAACTGTATCGGAACTTTATAAAGACTCAGTATATATGAATGCTGCCATTGCACAATTAAAAAGCAAGTGGCAACCCTCTAGCTAAGAGTGAAGGTGAAATGAAATCATCAACTTGGGGTGATCAATACAGGGTGAGTCAAAGTCACTGAACGAAAGCTATAACTCGGCAAAGAAAGCCATCAATTTGCAAACAGTTTTTGCATAGGAAAGGGCATCCACTAATTTAAAAATATGCAACTTTGGAAAAAAATAATTGATTTACTTGGTGTAAAAAGGACTGCACTTACTGGCCATGATATGTGAGCAACATCAAGTTCAATCACACAAGCTGTCACCAAAAGGCAACCTCTTGGGATCTTCTCAGGGATGCTTTGCTTCAGTTCATGAATCATGCAAAATTTTCAGCATATATCTGGTCTTTAAATGAAATCCCACAGTCAGAATTTGAGTGGACTCAGGTCCGATGACCTGGCCTATCCACCTGTCTTCGAAGCAAAAGGACACTTCACTTTGGAAAGATTTTCTTTGCAGATAGAGAAGAAATTAACTACGGCAACATGTTCCTCCAAAGAAAGTTCATCACCATTATCAGAAAACCGTTTGGAGCAGTAAAAATTAGTAGAAAATTACTGCGAATGGGGTCCGTTCTACCATATATAACACTTTTATTTTAAAAGATGTTGCATTTCATTTTGAGCAGGCTCATCCAATTTATTTTTAGTATTTCATGCCAATTTCAATGTTGCTTCGTCAATTAACACATGCTCTTTCATATGTGAAAAACAGTTTGCAAATTAATGCCTTCCTTACTGAGTTATAGCTGTTCAAAGTCGTCAGACTTTTGACTCACCCTGTATGTGAGTAATTCATGCCAAAGGAGTCAAATATCCTGTTAGATCATGTGAGACTGACCATATTTTCAAAGAGAAGGATATGGATGAGTGAGACTGTTACAGAAGTGATGGGAAGGAGATGAATGAAAAACAAGTTGAAAGAATTAGGTGTTAGAAAAGCAGATGAAGTGCAGTAAGCATTGTGAAGTAAAGGGTCTACAAAAAAATCCCTGATCCTTTTTCTTTCCTGCCCCCTTTCAGGTTTGATTATTTTTGGCAACACTGATACTCTTTGATGCAGTAACAATTAGGATTTTATATGGTGAAGCAACTTTCAATAGAAAAGCACTTTCAAACAGTTGTCCACTATGTACTTTGGAAAAGCACATTACAGGTTCAGAATTGAGACAGATAAAAATTTCCCACTCAGTGGAAAGGCTGGCATGAAGCCATTGACTGGCCAGTAATTAGCCCTGATTTCCCCTCAAGTGGTTTCTTTTATGAGGCTATTTTAAAGAAAAATTATGTGGTCAGTGACCCAAAACATCGAAATTATGCCACCATTTACAGGGACGTTAATGCCATTCCAGGTCAGAGGCTCCAAGCAGCATGCAATAAATCTAAGCTGAGAATAAAAAGTTGCATCTGCAAAGAGGGCATCATATTGAATACCGCTGAGCAGAGGACCATCATTATTTGGTGATGATATATTTTACTATTAGTTACCTTTGAGTTCCTATATACAATTATAACTTAGTTCATTATTTATTTAGGAAGTAAATTAGTGACTTTCCATGCACTGTGTAAAAAATGTAGGTATGATGTGAAAGCTGAATGTGTGCAGAACTTGTAAAGTTTTTGAAAGAAAAGATTTCAACAGCAAATTTCAGAGAAAGGACTCTTGATAATACTGATTCCTGTGGTTCCAAAAACATTGACAATCATAACCCAAGGGACTGTTGATGATGATGAGCAAGACCTCAACACCAACATGTTGAGGTCTTGCTCATCCTTAAAAACTTGATTATAAATAATAATTTACATAGATAATTAATGAGCATATGGATAATATAATATACTGAAGTGCAGAATGAAACAAACTACAAAATTAATTAGAGCACACTTTGGTTAAACAACAATGAAATATTTTCTAAAAGTTCAAAGTTTTACTTGTGCCATTTTCAAACATTTTAATTTGCAGCAAAAATGTGACATTTAGGTTTGTATTCAAAGGCCTACAACTCAACTTCACCATGAGCCTGATGCCTTTCCCCAAATTCTCTCAGATTTTAAAGATTTAACAAACTTAGCATGACAATGTGGGAACACCATGCAGTCAGCTCTCATTATGCTCTCTCTATATTGTCAGCCTTGCATATTGCCAACATTTTCCTGTGGAATATTCTCCACATAAAGTAATATAAGAAATGGGGTTAATTTGATGTAGTGTCACCTTTGACACAGCACCAAAAATTGACAATAACCCACAGTGGAATTACACTAAGGCTTGAATGAACAGTCACTTTCTTCGTATCAACTTGACCATGCATTAGAAAGCTGAGATAGTGGAGGCATGACCTACTTAAATGCCTTCTTGTTGAAGAAGAACTCTGCAAGGGTGGCAGCATTTATGGGCCAATCAAGTGAGCACATTTTGTACTCCAGCTGTCGCTTGATGGTGGCATGTAGGAAACCTACTGCCTTTTTGAACTCTGAGTGTTTGATGAGAACCTGGGCAAGGTAGTAAAGGGTGAGGGTGAATGCCTGCTCAAGGTCCTTTTCACCCCCATCATCCAACTCAACAGTCCAACCCACTCCTTCAGGACTGAAGAGATTTTCAATGGTGAGCAAATGCATCTCTGAATTTCTTTGTCTCTGAAACTCAACATATTTCCACTTGGCCTGGTGCAGGTACTCAAGTGCACGTTCCCCATCCCCTCTGTAATTGGCCCAGAGTATACCCAGTTGATTGAGAGACTTGAGAGCTACCAGGATCCCCTTGGGATGGGTGGAATACTCCTCAATGATATCAAGTCCCTTTGCAAGCTCCTCTTCTCCAGCTGGAACTTCATCAGTCTCCATTCCTATCACTCCCAGATGAAAGTGTACAGCTGCCAATTGACATCGGCAATGTATGACCATAGGGGTATCTTGGTTGGATAATCTGAAGTGATCAAGATTATGAGAAATTTGTTCCTCCATTTCCTCCAGGATCATTCGAGCAGCATATTTGGAACGATATGGCTCTTCATCAGGATCATCTTCACTCTCTTTGCAGAGCTGAAGGAAGTGCTTGTACTTCTCATGAAGGACACTTGCCCAGTCTTGCTCCATTCTGTAGCTCCACACAAACCTTGAATTTCATCAAGACAAAAATTTCTGACCTTCCTCAAGAGTCATGGAGAAAGGAAAAACCTATGACTTCAAAGATGGAGAAAAAACAGTGCAGCAGGTGAGGCCAGAGGAGTTCATCATCCCATCCCACCATGTGGGATGCCTCTAATACATCCAAAAGGTATTCTAGAAAGAGAGTGAATGAAGAAAGTTCTGAGAGCATCTTAATTACTCATCCCATGTGTTCCCGTTGTACTTCATTTGCTCTAGACATACAGCAGCTTTACAGGATGAGAGACCTTAGGAATGTCCTCCATCAAAAAATGGTGAATTCAGTCATATTCTGACAATTGTCAGAGCTTTCTTTGGCCAGTAGTAGGTGAGAGCAGACCATTTCATTAAAGGATCTTTATTCTTCATATACTCAGAGGCATGATCAAACCCACAGACTGGAAAATATCTCATTATATAGTTTCACTCCTTTTTCACACAGTGAGACTTCCCCCAAACTCAGATTACTATCACAGACACAACACTGAGACACAATAGAATTCTTAATCAGAAGCATCAGGTTTCCATATGAAATTTCTTAATCTGGTTTTTGTCACAGGTCAGGCTTACCCATCTGCTTCTTCTCTTCAGAGCTAGGTTTCTCACTCTTTATAGGTTCCTCATGAGTTTTTTCTCTTGGTAAGACCGTTGTCCTCTGTGTAGCCTGCTCAACATATACAGGGTCTCTTGATCTGCTCTCTTGGGACTTGGATTCTTGTCCAACTGGAGGCACTTCCTTAGAATCAGCAGGTGACTTGGAGAGGTCAAACCCAAATGCATTTTCAAAATCCTCTTCAGGGAGTGACATAACACCATGAGAGTCTGCCCTCTCAATGAGTGGACAGAGGATCATGGATTCGACACCAAGGACATATTCACAGGTGCGTGGCTCAAGCAAGTACAAGGAGACCGAGTTAGGACTGGAGGACTCACGGCATTTGAGCCTCACTTCCACTCGCCTTGCTTCCCCTGTCTCCTTACATGGAGAGCCATCTCCATACAAGTGGGACACCTGAGCCTTTGTTGGCCTCTTGCTGGGATGTGCCTCAATCCATTTCCGATGCTTCTCCTCATTGAACACACCCAAGGTTATCATTGTCCTACTTCCATCTGGTTCCTGTGGTGAAATTAAATATATGCATACCAGCTAATTTCTCTCTATAGAAAAGGCACCTCATTATGAACAGCTCTAGCCAAAAATGGAAACTTTCAAATTGACCTTATGTACTTCATGTCCAGGAAATTTAAATTGGCAATGATTCTTTTTAAATTTGAAAAACACTTCATTTCATTCACAAACTGCAGATGCAAATAAAAATATTCTTGGTTTGACAGTGACATTACTCTTTTTAGAGACATGGGTGGACCTACAACAAATTAGTTCCATTTGAAACTGATTTGAAACCATTTGATTGTTCATATATTTATGCACTTCAGATTTCTAAACACATTTAATAGATATTTGCTGCTTAAAGGAAGAGCAGCACCTTTTTTATGTCTACAAAGGATACTAATTTTCATGCTAACCCATTCCTCTGATTTAGACAAAACTGCCCCGGCATTAAAAACGTCATCTTTTTACAGTCAAATTTTTAGTGCACCTAGTGTCAATTTTTGATGCCAAGAAGATAAAACAATAATTTTATACAATCAATTGTGATCATTTGGCATTGAAACTTGAAGTACTGAGAATAACTTAAATAATACATTGCAAAATTTATAATAGGGTGAAAAAAGAAAAGATAGAAACATAGGACTGGAAGGAAATCCAGAGTGCTTTGAGTGCAAAGCAGCATCTTCAGAGAGAGCTGAGTCATGAGGGAAGAAAACTGAAGAATCTAGTCAAACAGTTTGTCTCTGCCATCCAGAAGCTTATAGTGACCCCTTCCAAATTACCTTTCTCAAGAGCTTTCCTACTGCAACAGGAGAATATTAAAAATACTGTTGTATAGAGATACAGTGTATGCATAACTTCCATGCTATTCTTTCACTTCATCACAATGTTCTATCTTTAAAAAAATGCTGAATGCAAAGCAAGGAACTAATAAATAATAGAGATTCTGAAGCTTGTGAAGTGCAACTCAGCATGAATCCACTCACAGTGTGATACTGGAAAACCTTCTTCCCATAGCAGAACTCATACTTCCACCAACCAGAACCCTGTCACAATCAAGACATTGTTATGCTTAAAATTCCAAGAGCCATAATAATAAAAAAAAAATCAACACAGAAATGCCCTTTCTGAGGGCCCACTGCCCACAGAAGTTAATATTTTTTTCTTTTGACTGACCCCTGAGAGGCAGTGATCTCCCTTGAGGAAGTCCTCCACAAGCTTGGCATCAAATACAGGCTTGGCATATGTAGACACAGGTTCCTTATCAACAGGAGGAATGGGGGCAGCTCTCCCAGTCCGACGCTCATTGTCCACCTCAGCCAACAATGCAGCTCCAATGTCAGTAATGCCAGAGATGTCCACAGGACTGATCTGAACTTTGTATGTACCACCTCCTGCACTGCTCAATTCCTGAATGATTTTTAAAAATTTTTAAATATTATAATACCATACTGGTGCATATTATCAGAAAACTCAGAACAATCTGGCAGGCTGTTTGGTCAGGGCTCACCAAAATGGTTGTCTGCTGCTTGAGCTTTGCATTCTCTGCTTCAGCTTGAACAATCTTCCTTGGTCTTGCAGGAGAACCATCCAGTGCATAGCACCTGATGTCATGGTTTTGTTGCTCCTTAACCCTGTTCACATGATATAAAAAATGCATGAAGAAGCTTGGTAGGTAACAGAGCAGAGGAGTGCCATCCTTGCCTTCTCTTCTATATATTTATATATATTAATGAAAAGAAAATACATTAATCTATCAAAAATAGCATAGTATGGAGAATCACAGTTGGATTTTTTAGAGTGCAAAGATTTCAACAAAATGCTCATTGCATTAGTACAATTGTACCCTCCACTCTGGTAGTAAATTCTTGGAAAAGATATGGCTTGTGGGCATCAGATATCCACCTGAACTTGGGGTGACGACAGAGGTAAGGGGACAGGATGACTATCTCATATTCACAGGTGGAGGTTTCCTCCAATGAATAGACTTCATGCTTGCCCTGCTTGTAGCAGACATAGAGGACCCGTGTGAACCGGGGTTTCCCATTCAGATCACAGATTGTGCCATCTGTCATGTTCATAGCCACAAAAGGCAAGTTCTGCCCATCAATCTTCTTTGTCATCAGGGGATTAGATCCTATTTCAGCAAGGTGCTTCTCCATTTCTTCCACTGGATGAAAAACAATAAATATAAGTCATCAGATGCATTGTTTTATAATACAGTGGTACCTCGCATAACGAACGCAATTCGTTCCAGCGGTGCGTTCGTTATGTGAGGTGTTTCTTTATGAGAAACACGATTTCCCATAGACTTCTATGGGAAATCATGTAATCCGTTCCACGTCGCCGCGAAAAATCAAGGAAATTAGGAAAAAATGTTTCACTTTCACTCATGAACACCTCGCATAACGAATGCACCGCTGGAACGAATTGCGTTCGTTATGCGAGGTACCACTGTANACACGATTTCCCATAGACTTCTATGGGAAATCATGTAATCCGTTCCACGTCGCCGCGAAAAATCAAGGAAATTAGGAAAAAATGTTTCACTTTCACTCATGAACACCTCGCATAACGAATGCACCGCTGGAACGAATTGCGTTCGTTATGCGAGGTACCACTGTACATGGTTCAACCTCAAAGCGAAAGTGAACATGCCAGCTGCTTTATGTTTCTCCTCGTCCCATCTTCCTAGGTAGAATTCATGAGTAGGAGATCTTGGGTTGTCATCCTGATGGTACTGCCTCACAAACTTTCCATGACACACTTCATAGGTCCAATAAGTCTCCAACTGGAAAGCCAAACAGACAAGTTGCTGAATATCAAATGGTTTTTTTTTGCAGTACAAATACAAGTGCCTGTTTTTCTTTTGAAGATGCATGTTCTAGTAATTGCTAGCAAAAGTAAGCCCACATAATATCGTAGGATTTAAACAGGAAGAAACCACTCACCCTGTATGAGCAGGAAACTTGAGAGAACAAAGGCTGGAGCAACCCCAAGGGGTTGGGTCCTGTATATTCCCCATCATACTCCTACAACATCGCACAAAAACTTGTCAACATGTCACATACAGGGAAACCATGGCAATGAGACCAACTGTAGCACAGAAATTTTCATGACTCTACTGATATTGACATGATAGCCAAATGCATCCTCAAAAGCCAAAATCTTTCATTGTGCATTTCTTGCAAGAAGTTAAGAGAATATTGATGTAGCAAACTTTACTTAACACAGTTATCAGGTCACGCAGGCAACAAAGAGGAGGAAAACAGAAGTAGCTATGGAATATAAAAATGGAGTATCCTCCATAGCAGTGTATGTATTACAGGCTGTGTATGAAATCAGGCATTCCATATAGAATACCTAGGTTTTCTATACGCTACCTAAATGTTATGCTCTCCCTGTAACATATGCACTCAATCCTGAGGTTGAATAAGACAAGCAAAGGGAACACTCCAATAGCTAGTCAGATAGTGAGGCTGATTCCACATTGGTTCATTGATGACCAAAAGTAGGGGCATGGAGCATATGGTACCATCTACTTTGTTAATTTGGATTTAATTAAATGAATATTCATTCATATGCAAATAAAAAGCTTCATTGTACAATCCCTTCTCCTGCTAGCTGCCTGCCAACAAATTTGATATATGCCCCAAATTTCTTACCTCTCAGCCACATCATTAACAACCACAGGTGTAAGCAAACACACTGTATGCATGCAAGTATGCCTGGCATAATTCTGGATGTACTGCAGCTCCCTTACTTCTGCTACTCCTGTATGCAGTTCACTTTTGCATCCTCTGAATCTCACCTCACCAACAGACACCATCTAAGCTGCTGGGCAAGTATGCTTGCTTGTTTCAAGTTTCAATATGCCGCTTTGAAAACCTTAAAAACTCCAAGTTTGAATCCATTAATCACATGCCAAGAAAAAGCAAACATAATACCATATGATGTTCCTCCCCCACTCATTCTACTAAAAGAAAAAAAGGCTTTTCTTTCAAACCACAAAATTCTCTATGGGATTATGAGGCCAAGCTGGTAGAAAATTAGCTGAATTGAATTCCAGGTATGCACCTCCTGTTTGTCTCCAGCAGCAGGAATCACACACTGGTAGTTCTCATTCAGTGAGGAAGTCACAGCCAAGGTCTCTGCCTTCTCATCCTATTGGAAGGAAAAGCTCACTCAATTTAAATATTTTTTTCATCCCATATTCTGGACAAGTGAAAAGCAACAGAAGAATGTTTGGGGACAACTCACAAGGCCATGGAGAACATCATCTGTGATCTTCCCAGGCCACTGAATATTGAAGAGGATGGAGTCATCAAGACTTGAGATGTCTAGTGGCTGGACAGTCTGAAGGAGGAGGAAAGAGAAGGGCAGGGGAAGAAGACACCTCCAAACCAGTTTCATAGGAATTTCCATCTTTCACCCCATTCCTCTTTCCTCTTGTAGAGCAAAATTGAAAATCAAGTTTTTAAAAAAGGAAATAGCAAAGAAAGATTTGCTTTGACACAGGAAGCGAGTGTAACTTTCATGCCCTTTCTGTAATGTAGTCTGACCTATGTTTGGCCTACTTGCCATGAGAATGAGGCAAGCATTACAGAATGGAATATAACACAACTGCTTGAAGAAATCAAATACTCAATTCAAATAATAGGATTACTGCTTCTTTAATTTGAGATGCACATGATAATGACATCAACAATATCATGCACAAGGGACCAGAAAGAATCTTGTTCTCAAATTCCAAAAACAGGAAATGATAATACATGAACCAAGTCAGCATCTCATATCACTGAAAAAAATACAAAAATTCAACAATATTATGAGGCATTTTCAAACACAAACTAACATTTTTGAGATTTTGCTGATAATTGCCAGACATATTGACTTGTGCCAAAAACAGAAATGTGATTCATTTCACCCTGAATTGTTGGTCACAACCATCGCATTTGATAACCAAATTTCTGGTAATGAGTTCTGTTTTCCTCTATATCTTTCCTGGAACAGAGAAGACTTAGATACTAGATCAGTTTTCAAATAATTTAATCAAATAACTTAACATAATTTTAACCCAATTTCTCAAGCTGTGGACAATTCAGTTTGTCTTAGGATGCAATGTTAGTATCAAAAGGTTCTGGGGAAGTCTTAGGAACAAGAGAATACATCCTGGATACCAGGCGAATATTGTTGCACATCTTGAGAAAATGCTCACAAAGTCTGTGATGAAGGAATGGAAATGAGATTTGTGAGTAGAGTGGTCATCTGGTACTCATGACGCAATCAAACATAATAATTATGCAAGTCCCTCTTAGCATCAGGTAGCTGCTTCATTCCCCAGTGATATACCATAGGAAGAATGATTAGTCACTTGGCATGAGTCAGCCACAAATGATTGAGCATAGCCATCCAAGCAAATCACCAAAAATCCACAAAGAAACTCTCCAAAAGCATAACCTCAGCTTTAACTTCTAATAGGGGTGCATTGATACAAATATCAGGCAACAGATATTAGCAGATATACTAGACTGTTCATGTTTTTAGTTTCATCATGGCAGGCCAAAAGTCTCCCTCTCTCTGGAAGAGCTTTCAAAGAAGGAGAAAGCAAAAGGCACTCAGTCCCTCTCTTTTCAGCAATCCAGAACATTCTATAATTAGAACCAGGTGTAGAATTTCATTTATCCATAAAGCTCCCCTCAAGTTGCTTCAAATTTTCAGCCTGAATCAATTACTAACTTGGACTTGAAGGATGTAGATGCATGATACCCTCATTTACTTCTGTTCTTTCACATTTTCATAAACAAGAAATATGCTAATACTAAAGAACTACATCAGTATCTGCTACACCTGGATCACTGCATCCCCAATTTTGATGAACCTATCTTTAAATTTGATGATTCCCTTAGTCTCACATCCTATAATTGAAGGCAAAAGGCAAGAATGCTATGCCCCAGATCCTCAAGCTGTCCAGGGAAAGAAATGACAAGAGAGTTACTATGCATGAGGCTGTCATGAAAAAATGGGCTATAAAGCAACGTAGGTTCCCTTTAGAAGCAAGCCTGAATATGCACTTGTACAAATTCGAATGTAGTAGTCAAAGGACATGCTGGGTCACTTGCAATGTTCAGCACATGAAGCAATGTAAGACATTACATAAATTATTATATCCCACATCTGATTGAAAACCAAAGGACTTGGAATGATATATAGAGTATAGTCAGAAATACAACATTCCACTACAAGTCTTAAATGCAAAGACAAGGAAATAGTCCTACTAAGAGCTTCATTTAGCTTTTCATGACTGCCTCTGACACCATTCATAGGTAGGCACCATATAGAGGAAGACAATAACCATTGCTTTTCCACAGTAACTCACACAGTTCTCTCAGACCATAAACTCAAATGAAATTAAAACTTGCTTGGTATCTCATTCACAATGAGAGGTTGTGCTTCAGTCCTTCATATGATTTAGTTTGCAGTTCATGTGTTGGCTGTGATCCATGACATTCCTCTCAAGGCTGAGAGCTGAGTATCTGAGAGGAATTTTAAGTGCCTCAAGTGCTGGTACAAGTCAGAAACTGGAAAACCAGGTCCATAACATCCATAAGATGAGGACATCAGTACTATACCAGGCACATCACTAAACATGAGAACATCCTTCCAACTTATCACAGAGAGACAGGTAGTCCATGTCCTTAAACTTCACTGTTTCTTGAAGCTCTTCAGAATAGGATAGATGTTCTCAAAGGCTTCATATATTTCCTGTCTGACCTTTGCTCCTATAAAAGCACCCAGAGAAAGAAAGAACCCATGAGAAAAATATGAAACAAACATTTAAAAAATGAGACTGCCTAAGTTATCATGTGAGCATTACATTATAAATTGCAAGCACTTTAAAATTTATGATTTTATACTTGAGAATTTCTTTTTTAAAAATGAATATTTTAGATCTTGCACGACAAAGGCATTTACCTGTGAGAACCACTTTGCCAGACACAAAAATCAGCAAAACGATTCTTGGCTTCACCATTCTATAGATGAGACCTGGGAAGAGCTCAGGTTCATAACTGCAAAAAGAATGATTTTAAAAGAGCATAAGACAACTCTCAAGGGGAAAGGGACATCTGTTGAGAATTCCTTTTACCTGCTGAACTGGCTATGAGTAAGAACAAGGCCTTCCAACCGTATAGGGAACTTCACATCACAGCTTCCAACCATGTTCTGGATTTTAAAGTCCAAGAACTTTGCCTGCATTCATTCATGAAAAGGGAGATAATACAACATCTCAAGTTCCAAGTACTAGAGCCCAAATATGTAAGCATTTTCTCATGTGTATTTAGCCAAATCCACAATTCCAATAAGTCAAACTTCAATAAGATACTGGAAATTTGATGAAACTCACATCAAATCCAAGCTTTTGAACAATGCGGGCATACTTCCGGGCAGCCAGACGGGAGTCTTCTTCACTTTTAGCTCCTGTGCAGACCATCTTACCACTGCTAAATATAAGAGCAGTAGTTCGAGGATCTCTTATCCTCATAATGACAGCTGCAAATCGCTTGGGATTATATTCCGCATTTCTTGCATGGAGAGCTATTTTCTTCAAGTCAAGCTTACACCCTAGATTCACTGTGGATACAATGTTCCTGGGGAAGATGAATAAAAATAATACCAAATGCATTAGTGACACACAATGGGCTGAACTTCATAAGACTACAAAGCATATCACATCTATGACTTGATTCTTACTGAAGCTGTGGCACAATGGCAGCTTCTGCTGATGCAGGAGTGAGAGGTGTCATGGGAGCTGGGGACGGAGGAGGAAACATTGGCGTTGGGACAGGAGGCATCGATTTTTCTGCTATCAACTTAGTTTGTACTTGTACTTGCTGTTGTTTATTTGCCTGTATTTGTTGCTGCAATTGGGGTGAGCTTGGGTCCACTGCATTACTCAGGATGTGTTGTGACAAGGCAGACCCAGAGAGTATACTTGGCTGTTGACAAAAAAAGCAAGTGAGGTACTAAGGAATCACTCCATACAGTGCAGATTGTAAGCATAGCAGAACCCCTTACAGACACCCATCCTTTTATACCCTTCCTTATTTCTTCAAGGTCTGATTTATTGATGTGCATCACTACAAGAAAGGGCAGAAACTCCACACAAGTACAATGTAGTAAGAGTCTAGATTAAACTTTAAATTTTAGTAACAAGCTTATATTTGACATGTATTGCATAAAAAATCCTCAGAAAGCAAGTTCAGACAGTGTGAGGCCATGATACCTGGGAATGGAGCATCTGTGCTCCATATGTGGGGGTATTGAAGGGCTGTGGTGCTTCTGGCTGTTGTGACTGTTGAGCTTGTTGGGCATGAGGAAGGATCTGCTGGTCCTCCTCCGGCTGATGAAGAGGAGTACCTATACTGGGGATGCTAAACCCCGGGCTTGGAAGCATTTGATCCATGGTGAACACCTAGTATATTGTACTCCACTGAATATTGAATCTGATGGAAATAAAAAACACATGAGAAGGACTGAAGTCAGTTCACTTCACTCTCTCCTACATTAATTAAATGTGACCTTTTCTGGCATTTTAACCCATTTATTTCAGCAGTGAATCAAAATTTGTTATCTGACTTAAAAAATGTGTATCTTCAAAACTATTGAGTGGAACTCAATATATGCATGGGAGAGGATTAAAGTATGAAACAGATCCATGCAGTCAGAGACACAATCATAATTACAAGTGCTACAGGATACTGACTCCACACAAGGATATGAAGGGTACCTTCCAGCATCATTTGTTTGCCTTCTGCAGTGCTAGTACCCACACCTCTCAAATTTTTTAAAGCATTTTAATTTGACACAACTGCAGGGATAAATTTATCTTTGATCTTGGAAAAGCATACACATTCAGTACGCTGAAGGGCATGAGACGAGAAAGCAAGATCTGAAGAGGTGTTATACCTCTTCACCAGGGACCAGTGTGCCTGGAGGCAACTCTTTTTGGTAATCAATTAACATTTTTTTTTTTTATGCAGTGCTCCAAAAGTGCCCTAGGCTGGTTGGGTCATTGGTGGGACTTACAATACTTTGGGTAGGCCTAATCAGACCTACTCTTCTAATTGAGCCACTTAGTTTACAAGGATTCTCAAGAAATCATGTTCCTAGGTCTATCTCCTCTCTGACATTAGATAAACCTGCATTATTTAAATAGAAGAGTATCACAACAACTTGGTATATGTCCACAACTGTCACTTGGGTTTTTTTCATAGACCTATTCCTTCATGAATATCAAGTAGAGACGAGTTTCATGGTTGACACCCCTCAAGCAGGCCCAATTTACTCTCACAGCTACTGTTCTTCAGGTTTAGTAATTAGAATAGGCCTGCCTGTTTTCCACTAATTGTCCAGCCTGACTAAAGCTATGAATTGCAGTATGAAAACCAGAAAGATGACAGTATTCAAAAGCTAGTACGCTATTCGAAAAGTGGACCCTCTTAACGATGAAGAAGCAACCATGTGAAAATGGATAGCACAATTGTCCTATTTTATCGCTGGGGAGTCCCGTAACAGATTCTAAAACGTAGCCAAAAGTCAACCACGATCGCAGTTGGTTTAGAAATTATAATCCATTTGTGCCGATCTTTGAATTCAAGTCAAAACATCAGCCGACCAGATACAAACCCTTCCTCTCTCATATGTCCTAATCCTACGAGCCGCCCAGCGAGCTCCCAAGTCCTACTCAGGCTCACCGCATGAGCGGTTGTGGGAGCAGCGGAGTTTCTTCCCGGAATGTCATGGCGACTAGCCGACTGATTACTGTAGAGGTGACATCGGTAAGCGGACTTTCCTTGCGGACCCAAGAAAACGGTTCTCTTTTATTGATCTGAAGCAAAAATTCTTGCCAGCCCATTTTAGTTCTCTGTTTGGACTAAAACTCGAATTCTCTCCGTAAGAGCAGGAAACTTATTTGTATAGTCACCATTGAATCCCAACGGGTGGCATCCAGAGAGAGTATGTTTCTGGTGCCCGACTTTCATCTCCGCTTCCTATCACTCGGTAACACGAATGTCCGAATGGTAGACGTGCAAACGTGTCATCAAGAACGATGCATTCTTCAGCCGTCTCGAGTTGCCAATAGCGGGGACTCGAGGGACGAGGGACTCGAGTGAGAAGAGGAAGAATCCACGTTGGCACTTACCTAGCATGGCTGATTCAGAGATCAGTGGCGTATTTTATTTAGAGCAGGGGGTCAGCTGCCCTCCTGGCAACCCTTGGAAGAGCCTAGACCCCTAGCGAAGGATTCTCTTCTACCCCGAGAACCTTTACTCAAAACCTTTGAAAGTTTCACTTGCCACAAAAGAAACTGAGGCAATAAAGCAAACCTATATTATTCAATGGAGGGGCCTACCCTGTGCTACTGTGTTTTACGGAACCAATATGGAATTATATTATCACCTTCACGTGCAAAGGTCGTATCTCGACTCAACGTTTTTAGTTAGCGAGAAAAAAACTAATTGCTAACAGTTATGAAGGGCCGCCCAGAGGGGAGAACATCGGGAACAATCTGCCCCGGGCCTCGCGTATCACGAGACCCAATGCCAAGAGCTCAACCAACCATTCCCATCCATGCAGTGGCCTCCAAGGGCCCTCCGGTTTAGGCCTAGTTTTGCCCCAGGCTCTGTGGAAACTTCGGGCGGGCCTGGCAGAATAGGACATATTAACTTAATAAATCTGTCGAATAGAAGCGAAATCATTTACGATCGTGAACTTTCCTCCAGAGCCGAAAGTGTGACTGGAAGCGGAGATACAACCTTCTCACCCGTCATCATCTTCGCATGCTTACCAGACACGATTTCTTCAGATACGACGAAATTTGGACCAACCAAGAAACGACTTTTTGTCACTCCACTGTTTTCATGGCCTCATGAATGATTTTGACTCGGCTTTGAAGCTCGATAAATGATGCTGCTTGCACCGCATCTCAGCTATCTCTGTCTTTGTATCATGGGGAAATCAAGACTCCTTAATCAATCAACCTTTCAAGTTCTGGAGTCTTTATTGAATTGAAACAGAAGTACTTCAATGTCCCTTCTCTTCCCTTCAATCTCTGTTCTGTATTGCTTGGTTTGCATGTTCTCTGGGAGATTCATTTCACGATCCTCAACTAGAGTTTCCTGGTGGCACAAGACAAGATTCGACATGTATTGACTCGACACGCCCTCCATGGATTCCACTTTAAGATCTGCAAAACCAAAGCCTTCCACAAAGCAAAAGAAGGATGTGTATGTTTGCTTTGTGGGGAGTCAGCCAACACATATCATCTACTCTCCTGTAATAAAAACACAATGTCACTGACCAAATGGGCAACGATGGAATAGNGCAAAACCAAAGCCTTCCACAAAGCAAAAGAAGGATGTGTATGTTTGCTTTGTGTGGAGTCAGCCAACACATATCATCAACTCTCCTGTAATAAAAACACAATGTCACTGACCAAATGGGCAACGATGGAATAGAGGAAAAGCTTCTGTGATATATTCTGTATTTACCAAATTGACAAAAAACTACTCTCCTGTAATAAAAACACAATGTCACTGACCAAATGGGCAACGATGGAATAGAGGAAAAGCTTCTGTGATATATTCTGTATTTACCAAATTGACAAGAATGCCATGCTATGGTGCAATAAAGTTTTGATGATGAAGTTTCCATAGAGCGAAAACGTATTCATATAGATATGTAGATAACGTCCTGCCTGAATTGTTACTGGATGAGGTATCTCAAAAATAAAAATTGCAATTAACGTCAATATCACACTCTTAAAAACGTAACTTTTGCGTAACATTTAATTAGAAGTTACTCTCGCATTTAAACGGCATTTAAAAGTTTCTAGGGGTGCATAACCTTTGTGGGGATTTGAACCTCTTTATATATATAAGTTAAAATTAAGTTACCGAGATGTCGTAACCCTCAATTCCGAGCAGAATCTACAAAGGTAACGACACCTAACCACTATTTAACCTATTTTTTTAAATTCCTTATAGACATTCTGACTAGAGGTTATGCAAATTAGAAACGTTCCCTACCCTGCAACAGTGGCACAGGTCAGCACTAGGAGGAATGAAAACATATCCCTGAAGGAAGTATGAGAATTTCTCCCAATTCTCAGTCATAGGAACTTAGCAAGAATGACCCATAGAGTACTGTAGATAGATGTCCGTGATGTATGCACAAAGTCGGCGCTTCATGAGATGGCGCTGAGTCGAGCGCATCCGGAATCTATTTCATGATTGAAAGTACACTTCAAGATTTTTCTACCCTTCGTCTGAGAGTTTCAAAAATGTTTAATTCGGGAGAAAACCACGGGGAAGAAACCGCGGAGTGAGTTCTGCTTTGAGTCAAGTACTAACCACAGCGTAAAGATGGCGCCAGTGTCGCCCTGTCCTTGACCCTGGTGTTTATTCGTGTCAGAGATTAGTTTCGGGAAGGTGTGAATTAATTGAGATGGGAGAGCTTGTGTCCCTAATAAACTCACATTCAAATCATCCATACATTAATTTTTGGAACGTTCCGCTACGCAATTCTAAGCCGTACAAACGAGCAGCTTTGCTTTGGGTCAGGAGTGAGGAAAGTCCACTAAGGTTCCGAATCTTTTCACTGTTGATTTTCTGCTGAAGAAATCAAATAATATGGCCCGGACTTCCCCGTTTAATTTGCTGTGAATGATTGATGAATACTGACATCAATTTGCCGTACTCGAGGATGTTTCAAGGGTTTGAGGCAGTGATGATGCAAGTATATGCACCGCTATCTATGGTTATACAGAGTATCCAAAAAGTCGTTGTGCACCTGGTACAAACAGACTTGTACCTGCGATTTATTTTTAAAATTTGCTGGATTTGGCTCCACGAACGTCCAGGCACGAAAACGTTCATTGAACAATTCAGCGATCAAATGAACCAGGACGAAGCTTCCAGCAGTAACTTCCAATGGAGCTACTTTACACACCACTAATGGCGCTGCTGGACAATGTTTTCGGGACAGAATAATAACCAAGCGCCTTTGGTCTCACTGGTCCCCGTACTCTCCCCACATTATCTGTTGAGTGTAGTGAAAAAAGACTCCACAGAAACGACCTTCACAGTCAGCAGTGTAGCGTCGGGGGAGCAAGGAGGCCCTCCGCCCTCATGCCCCCCCCCCCCAAATTTTTTTTTTTCCTTCACGCTACGCCTATGCCCACAGTATCACAGAATTGCGGGATACCATCAGCAAAATTACAACCGATGTGTCGGCGAGGGTTTCCAGGAACAAGATTCAACGCGGTCGTACATGTTGGGATCATTTCCAGCATTTGTTAAAACTCGCAGGCATGTGCTATTCTGTTTGCACCAGGTGCACAATGACTTTTTGGACACCCTGTATTAAAGTGCAATACTTGAGTTGATAATGAGATTGTCACCCTCCCCATCAATCTTTAATTCAATTGCCAAAACGTGCTCTAGAAGCAGCTGAATGCCCAAAATCCGTAGAACGGTTATTGAAATGTTAAGGATCAGGGATCCATGATTTGGAGTGTGTTTAAGTTTTAGGTAACGTTTACCCTGTAACATTTTGTGACACTCTTATTTAAAGGGTAGAAAATTATCAGTTTTCTAACCTTTAGTATAGGTTACTCAAAGGTTACATGTTTAAAAGTGCAGAGAACGACTTACACAACAAATTTCAACTTTGTGTATTTGCCCGTTTCGATGCGGCAAAAAATCCTGTAAAATGCTTCCTTCCAAAAAATGTGATTGATGGTACGGAGCGAAAAACTATAAGTCATTGCTCGGAGAATTTTTTAATGTGCATAATTTCGACTCTCATTATCTTTCAGTTTCGCTGAAGCAAGGAAAAAGTCAGGAAATGCTTGCACGTCAAAAATTATGCCCTGAGGGGATACGGGGTGACCCACGTATAATGAAACCGTTTTAAAATGTCATAAAACTTCATGATGAGTATGACAAGTTCATATGTTGTATGAATTGATGCTACAGAATCTGGAGATAACATGAGGGACAGGCTTGTCCATGCACTACTCATTCTTTGAAAACAACACTACTAAGAATAGCTCCCACATTCACGGCAGGTCAACACATTCACAGCAGGGCGCAATTACATAGCAAATTGACTTTCGAGGTTCTCTATCATTTCGCCGAGTGAC